GTTCGCTCAATACAGCAGTTTCCGTTTGACTCCGTATTCATCACAGCAAGCAGTGGTTCACTCCACACGGTTACAAGAAGAGCTATCTGAGGAGAAAACCCGAGGTTCTTATGCCAGAAACACCACACACCCAACAGCTCCTTATCCCCCGCGTCTCCCACATCCCTTATCACGCCACGATGAGGGATTTGATGTGTTGTCGTGTTTGCTTAAAGAGTTTTCCTTCATTGTTTGTTTGCTTGAAGCGTGGGACATGCATGCTCGCTTAGGCAGCCACTTGTCCCGCGGTCACGAGGAAGAATAACCGAATCGCGACATTCGGCCCGTGACATAACTCTAAAGAAAAGTAACTTAGACTAATAATTATAGATCTTATTAGTATACTAGGTAATATAGATAAAGAATAATAAGCTAATTAGTATAAAAAGAAGGAGGAGAACTCTTATAAAAAACAACCTAATTTAAAACACTTATTTTATAAGAAGAGCGCTTAATAATAATAAGACTAGAGTAAAGTAATTAAGGCCTAGAGGTAAGGAGCTAAGAATATCACTTAAGAGGCTTAAGGATAATAAATTAAAGAAGTTAAGGATATTACTTAGGAAGCTTAGGAATAATAAATTAAAGGAATTAAGGATAACTTATTACTTAGGAATAAGAAGCTAATCATAAGTATAAGCGTAAGAGTAAGGACTACTAGGCTCAACTACCCCTAAAATCTACTAGAAGTAGACTACGAGGTAAGAAGTAAGTATAAGTAGACTAATTTATTTTATTTATCGACTTTTTAGTATAATACGCTATAAAAACTATAAAGAAATAGAATCTTATAACTCTTATACTCTTATATTCTAATAGAAATATCCTACTTTCTAAGCGATAGTAATAGAACTACCCCTTTTTTTCGACTTTTTGGAAGGGTACTAATTTAGGGGGTATTTTAGTAATTTATAATAAATTAGGGGGTATTTCGGTTAATTACCGTTTTTTTTTTTTGATACGATATTTCCCGACGTATATACAGTAAGAAAGCTGGTTATTACTCTGTATACGCTATTCAAAGTCATTATAATAAAAGTCTAGCATAATTTAATTCATTATCCTATTTCACCTCGGTTAATTAGGAGTGCAAACTAGTAATTCTTCGAAAGTGGTCGTATTTGATTTCGTTGTGTGAGGTCTTTAGGATCATAATTTATTTATTCTGGGACTCAGGGGTGCCCGTATCTCTTATCTTTTGGTTTCTTCCATTGGTTCGCTGGGCGTGTGATTTTGCTTGATCGCCGATGTGTGTTACTCACCGCAAGAAGTTGTGTTTATGTGGATGCAGTTGAGAAACATGGCGTTTTTTTGGCTTTGATATCGGGGAGGGATTTTGGAGTGGGGTTCCTTAGGGACCTGGTTACTTGCGTGGGAACTGTCTGATATCTGGGGGTTTGTGCAGTTGTGCGCTTCTGAAGTACTTTGATGGTAAGGGCTTTTCTTATCTTTATTGTTGTCTTGGGTTGTAAGAGAGGCGGGCATTGCTCTGTAAGACTACACGCTATCAAAAGTTATTCTGTCAAAACTCTGGCACAAGTAACTTAATTGTCCTATTTCACCTAGCACAATAAGTATTGAAAATTAACAATTGTTCTAAACTATTTGTGTAATTGATTTGATTGTGTGAGGTCTTTAGGATAATCATTTTATAGCTCCGGTGTGTATAGAGTAATGCCCGCCTCTCTTACAGTAGCTTGGAATGCTGTCATTCGGCCCGTTACTTGAAGTTTGCTGTCGTGGAGGAGGGGTAGGACAGTCCTACGGAGTATGCAGGTGGTTCGAGAGAAGCATCTTATCTCTGTACGAGTACGTCGGTGGGAGGTTGTGGCTTGATGGCTATTGGTACTTGAGGCTAGTCTTCAGTATTTTGATCTCGACTCTCTGTTTATTGGCCAATGTACTTGCTGCTCGCTTGTCTTTATCTTTTTCTGTCTTAGATGCTAGAGAGCGACATGTGATGCATGTGTGTTATGAGGGAAGGTATCTATGAAGGTTAGCACTCTAAGTTATCCTTTCTTTCTGAGGTACTCGTACGAGTACCCGTTGGACCTCAAAATCGTCATCATTAACCTTTCTTCCTGTTCAAGACAGCACGTCCTCGAGAGACCGACGAAATGCCCACCCCTTCGCTCCTCACAACCTTCCTCCTTGTCCTTCTCCTCCTCCCTTCCACATCCCTCCCCCTAACCACCAACTCCACACCCCCAACAATCTACGACCTCCTCCCCGCCCTCCGTCCCCTCCTCACCCCAGCATCCCCCTCCCAAGCATTCAGCCAATGCTGTCTCCTCGCCATCGCACAAACCTACTACATCAACACCACCACCCACGAACTATCCGGCCCACTGACTCCTCCCGGCCTGCAAAGTCCGCTTCTGGACCTCTCGCCACGGGAACTTGGGGAAGGACAGTTTCCCTGTGGTGCGAGGTATGATGAGGAACGTGGCGATGGGGGGAGGAGTGGCGATGCTGGCGCGCCGCAGGTTACAGTTCCGTATCGGTGGTGTAAGGTGAATTGTGGGGGGTGGCAGGTGAGTCGCACGAGGGAGTTGGGGCAGTGGGTGCAGCCGTTTGTGGGGTTTATTTTGCCGAGTACGGTGTTTTGTTTGAATGTTAGTATTTTGATTCTCTGTTTCCTTTAGGAATTATTTGGTTTTAGTTCTGATCTTGCTTCTTGAGATGAGATGAAGCGGTAGTCGAGGGACTGCGGTGGATTTGAGTTCGATATCGAGGAATCTTGCTAATGGCACTAGGTCCCTCGAAGATCGGTCCTCGCTATCTTCGACGGCCTGTTTCATAATCACTTTGAAGATCTCCCGAAGGCCTGGTGGGAATTCACGGCTGCCTTCCGAGCCTTATTTTTTATCCTGAAAAGCTCTCTCTTGCTACTCCTCACATCCTGTTTCCCCAAACTCAAACGGAGATCCAACCTCCCTATGAAAGATGAAGAAAATCACCCCTCACCTCCTACTCCCCCTCCAAACCACCAAAAGAACGAGGAAAGAAAAAGAGAATACGGCGGCCAGATAATCAAAAGCTTCATCATGCTAGTATGGTACATGGTCGCAGCAAGCTTCTTCATGCTCCTCCGAGGATTGGTCGCTACAGTCATCAGTCTCATCAACACAGTCTTCTGGATGGCGGTTGTGTTCAGCACGGCGGGCCCGATGATGTTGAGTGGACTCTATGAAGCGCGGTTGGATCGCAGGGTTGTGAGTGGGATGTTGAAGGCGATTAAGAATGGGCAGGATGGTGGACGAGAGAGGTTTTATAGGAGGGTTGGGGGTTTGTACGTTATTCTTGTGGGGAATTTGGAGTTTGGGAGGGAGATGAACATTCCTGGTGATGGTGTTGGGAATGAGGGGGAGAGAGGCGAGGAGAGGAAGGATAGTGGGAAGTGTGTTGAGAGTGAGATTGTGGAGTTTGGGACGGGGGATAGGGGGGATGTTGTTGAGAGGAGTGTGTGGGATGATATAAACACGCTTGTTAAACCCAGGGATCTCATTGAAGCAGAGGATGCAGATGCAGATGCGAGATCTCGGGGCAGGACTCTCTCGAAGGACTTCGTCGAACATCTCACGAAGTTACAGATCAACTATCGAAAAACCACCGAAACGCGTCTCAAGGCGATGCTGGATTGTCAGGCCTCCTTTGGTGCTGTCATCGGTGCTGCTGTTGTTTTCTTCGTGGGATCTTTCCTTTTCTCGGTTGTCCAGAATTTGACGACGATCGGTGATAATGATACATCGCATGCTTTGGCATTCGGCATGTGGTGGATGATAGGTCATTTCCCCTTTTGCGATTCATTCTTACGCACGGAAACACAAAATGGTAGTGTTTACTAACGTATACTAGTCCCCCACGTTGCGATTGTCAGTGGGTGTTTGTTAGCGGGAAATAATCCCAATACACTAGAAGTGATTATTTGTAGCGTCCGAGAACCCTGGAACCGACAAGAATCTACAGGAAAGGGGTGGTGGAGAAGCTGGTGGCAGAGGTATTACAGCAGTGTGTATGTACCAGTCCGTATGGTAGAGAGAGGGATGAATAAAAGACTCTGGGTTCGGAGGTTGGTGAGAGAATACCCATTACCGAAGCCAGGAGCAACTCCTACACAGGGAGTGGCCGAAGAAGAAGACGAGTTAGACATCGAACTAGATCTTTGGGATTGGGTGATAATGTCGGTGATCGTGGTATTCCTCATGGGCGCCCCTTTCGTCCTCGCTTATTTAACGAGCTTCTTTACCCCGGCGATGGGACTATCCTGTCGCGCCTTCACCATTCTCCTCTATTTCCTGTTTCAAGTCTGTTACATGGCGATCTGGGGCTGGGATTTCTACACCATGACACTAACCATGCTCTGGCGAACCACTTCCGAAAAGCTCGCTCAAAGCACCAACCGCGACATCGAGAGGAACCGACGAAAATCCAGTACCTCATCTACCAGTCCATCCAGCAAAGTCCCCCAACCCTCTCCACTCATCCATAAACTCCTCCTCGGATTCGTTATCTTCGGCTCAACATTTACCTCCGTCTTCGGAACGTGTTTCCAGCTGATAGGACTGTATCGGAATTGTCTCTGCTACATGCCGATGAAGTACTGGCGCTCGGGCGACTTCTCGTTCGGTGTCTCGTCTAATACGGCGGATGATATTTTGTGGGCTAAGAGGGTGTGGTTGCCTACTGGGATCACGAGTATTGCGCTTATGGTAATGACTTGTTATATTGGATGGTGGTATCAGCGGCATTGGAGGGTGCAGTTTCGGGAGGTGGTGAGGTTGTTACTTAATCCGTCGATGGTGGAAGGATGTGTTGTGGGTAATGATGGGAAAGAAGGTGGCGATGGGATACCGAGAGAACAAGTCCTTTGAGTGATGCGAATAAAGGGAATTGGGTGTTTTCCCCGGCGGGGGCGGATGTTTCGATGGTCGTTAAGGGTGTAGAGAAGAAGTAGAGGGGGCTTAAACTTGTAATTTAAGCGAAAGGCACATTCTCGCTTATTAGCTTGATCCCAGATTTCCTAGATTCTTGTGGAGGGGAAGGGTAAAACTTCAAATATCACCATTACCAACTAGATCTCTTACATTCGACGCTCTTGATCTAAAATGATCACCGGTCCTAACCTTATCCTGGAAAAACCGTATGACCATCTCGAGTCGATAGACATGTCTGACCTGATATGTAAGGTACACTACTATGAAGACAACCCATCCCACACACATTATTAGCGACTCTTCAAAAGAGTAATAAAGGAGCGCTTATAAGCAGGTTCAGCCACAAAATCATATTCCTCTTTTGGAACGGCAAAGAAGCGAGATTTACTATGGGGGTCAGTCATTTATCACACTAGCCAGCGTTCCGCTCAACTCCCTTAAGCGTAGTTCACTCACAGCATTTAAAGTAAACATACATGCCAGTGATCCTATATTACTTATACTTGTATCTTACTTAAGTAAAATAAAGACTCCCCTCCCCCTGACAGAAATTCTAGTAACATATGCATATATCCAGAGCTCAAGTACCTCTCCCTCCTATCAGCGTTCAAGAATCCAAACAAGCAACTATCCCCCTTCTACACACACGTCTGGGTATCCATAATCCAAGTACCACCTAGCTTCCCAAGCGACAAATCCACAAATTCCACCCTCCACATCAAATCTCCATCTCCTACCGTAAAGTACAAAGAACCCACTTCATCCCCTTCCCACCGCGCACCTAACCCCTATGTTAAATCTTGAACGGGGTTAAGAGTTTGATCTTTTGCGATTCTGCCATATCAATATTTAAAAAATAAAAAAAAGGTAAAAGGGGTAAAGAGACATCTAGTCTCTACCAATCTTTCCTTCTTTTCTCTTCGAAGGTATCTCAGTCAATTACCGTAAAACTATTAAGACATATCCTCAGGGCTTAAGAATTATAGGATTAGATTAGTATACAAGTACCATGTACCAAGCACCACAACGCGTAACAAGTTAAGCGAAAGCGGGAGTAAATAAACCCCCGAAAGAAATAATCCTCCACTCTCCCAGGAACCTCTACAACACCTTACCTCACCTCACTAATCAAATAAACATCTCCCTCCCCAACATAATAAAAAAAACCCAATTTCTTTCCTCCATTCCTCCCACACACTTCCATTTCTTAAGACAAGCTACAGAAGCTAGCCCCTATCCACCACAACATTTCCACTTCCAAGCTCTAGCCACCTTTCTAAAGTTTATGAAAATAAGAAGCGGTATGTATATATGTATAGTATTGAATACTATTGTATCGCCAGCCACATTGTTCTCCAAGACATATCGGAAGTCTATAAGTTATATACTAGTAACGAGTAAGGAGCTCTAAACAAATCTAGCAGGAACAAATCCAACTAACAGGTCTCCGATCACGATTCATGACGCCCTACCCTCTCCTTGTTCCTTCTCCCTTACAGCCCTCATCTCATCTCACCTCATCTCATCCCCAATCCCCCCCCCTTAAAATCCCTCATCCCACCTTCCCACAAAAAAGCATACCTATGCTTCCCCCTCTCCTCTCCTCTCCNTTACAGCCCTCATCTCATCTCACCTCATCTCATCCCCAATCCCCCCCCCTTAAAATCCCTCATCCCACCTTCCCACAAAAAAGCATACCTATGCTTCCCCCTCTCCTCTCCTCTCCTCTCCTCTCCTCTCCCCTCAACACAACAATCCAATCATCCTCCCTTTCCCCTTGCCCCCTCCCTTGCCCCCTCCCTCCTTCATTTCCACAGAATATGTACCTCCAAACAGATCCAGAGCCATCTCAGTCTTAATCCTACAGTAGTCTCACACCACAACGAAGAGAGGGATTACATCACACTCCTCCAATCCGAAAGCTCACAAGTAACACAACCAACATATCAAGGAAAAAGTAGTACAGCGCGGAAAGTAAACCCCATATATTCATTCATCCATTCCTATATATCCTATTTCCCCTCTCTCCCTTTCGTCCCTCCTCTACCCACCTCCACCCCCACCTCCACCTCATCACCTCATACCATACCCTCCCTCTCATCACATCACCAAATAAACATTCACACATGTACCCACTCCCCTCCTCTCCCTCATTCCCCCTAAAACACATTTAAAGAAAAAGAAAAGGAAAAAAAAGAGAAGAGAAAAAAACGCCATAACCATGCTAAAAACCCCCCAAACCCATGTTTTCTTCTTCCTTCTCTCCTTCATTCCTTACTCACAAGCGAAAGAGTAAAAAAAAGAAGATATATTTATACATATGCAATCAATTTCCCACGCTACAACCCCCATATTTGGGTCCTCCAAAGGTAAAGGTGGTATTGTATGCCCCACCTCCCCCAACGAAAGCACGAAGCACAAAACACAAAAAAGAGGAAAAGAAAATGAGACGGGGTTTGGGAAAAACGATTATTTAGTTTATTACTGGTTACGTAACCCACTCGACGACTTCCAAAGCGCACATTACGAGGATGAGCGTCGATGGGAGGATCCTTCAGAAAGTTAGCTTACATTCGAAAGTGACATGGATATAGAAGGAAGCAAGGAGATAGAAAACATACCAAATCACATAGCTCTGGAAAAGAAGTTTACTCATTACCCCCTCATAAACCCCATTGATCTGGCAAATCTGCGCCAGCTGCAACGCACTCGGTGCACCCGTCAACAAGAAGCAAACGATGATAAAGATGGGATCATCAAGAATACTGATATTGACGTATTTCGCAAATAGAGCGAGGAGCGGCGCCATGATGAGTGTTGGTAGGAACATACGAGAAATGAGTGATGCGATAAGAAGCTTTGTCCCGATTTGATTTTCTTCACAGTCCTCATCGATTGCTGATTGAGGGAGAGTATTGCGTGCGAGATTTGCGCCTAAGACTACGAGGATGAGTGGCACGGCTACACCACCAGATTGCGCAATGGCTCTAGTGACGGAGTTTGCGACAAATGTCCCTTCTTGAAAGAAAAGTCTCTGGAGTTTGGGTATTGATGCTACGATAATTGCTGCGAGCATGGCCCATAGAGGTGGGTTCATGAAGTCCCAGAGTCCAAAGTAGATTTTTGTTAAACGAGTTTGGACGGAGTTTGGTAGGGATCCAAAGAGCTTTCTGAAAGGCCATGATAGAATTGCGGATATCCAGGATATTGTTTGTTTGGTACGAAGACGGATTGTTGGAATAATTCCTCGGATTCCGCTTGGGATGTTATTTTCTTCTGGAGTAGGCGTGCGAATGGCTGGAAAAGAGGTCATGTTGCCATTGGTTATGCCAGGGAAATGATTGCCATTAGTTGGCGTCGCGAGAAGGACTTGATGTTTCCGCGTTTGATCCCCGTCGTCCCCGTCGACAGAGCCGGCGTATTGAGCATTGTAAATGGGTGTCCTTCCACCTGATTCAAAGGAGACCGACGAACTTGAAGGGTGTAAAAGTCCGTCATCGTGGTCATCGTGGGGACCATCCAGACCAGGGATCAAATCTTCAGGAGGATCATCTCTATATCCACCTTCTAGATCCGATACATCGCTTGCTTCCTCGTACTTTTCGGCAGGCGCCAAAAGAACGTGGTATCCCCAACTCCATCTCACAAGTTGACCGAGCTGCTGAAAGATCAACAGATAAAGAATGCCTCTGGCAGCCACCTCATTATCGTTGTCCCCCGGCAGTCTGTCCCAGTGCAATCCTTTCAATGTTTGCGAGAGAGATATGACTAGAGAAATTGGAAGGGAATTCGAGTTTCCGAAAACCTAGTTTTGTCAGTGCCGCTCGGGAACGCATAAATGTTTGCAACCTACTCCCATGGCCGTCACAAAATTGGCAGCCCTCTTCTTGAAGCCGAAAGCTTTACCCACTCCCACTGATACCAAGTATGAGACCATTGTCTGCACCGCAAAGATAACGGGAATGACAGCCAAGTCCACCAGCGTGTCTGCCGTCAATTGGGAAGCCAACTTCGTGAAAACTGCGTCATTGTTAGCCCGATTCTACTTCCCTCCGCAGCGCCATCCACGTACTCAGACAAGGTGTAAATAGTGTTACGTTCAAGTTGGCGACAAACTTCTGGTTCTCGGCATCAAACATTCCATTCCTTGCGACAATATATCCGGGCAAGCTGACGCACACAACCTCCATTACCGCTTCAAAGACCAGGAGAATGAGATGGGCCAGTGGCGGATGGGAGTCATGATCGTTTACACGCGGGGCGAGGAATGCGAAATTTGCAAAACCACCAGATGCTACCGAGGGGATGTCGTTGCCAGCAACAATGGCGTTGAGCCGATATGAGGTTGGGTTGGTGAAGAAACTCATGGTGACGGACTAGGGACTAGGGAGTAAAAGCAATTGCGCCCTTGGTCGCGGTACTTCTGGACCGATAGGGGGGACTCGGGCGGAGAGGTTGAAGATCGAGGGAATGGCCCTCGTTATGTATGGAGAAGACCAGTTGTGTATGTGTTGTCGTTGAGCGTTGGAGAATATTATGTGCTGTGTTGGTGTTGGATGGGTGATGGTGGTGGTGGTGGTAGTGGTAGTGGCATTGACCGGGCATGGTATTGTTATGAGGTGATCGCTGATAAGATGCCAGGCAGGCAAGGCCAAGGCCCACTGTAAAAAGCAAGGCTCCGCTTTGGGCTTGGTGCTTGGTTTTGGCGTGACGGAGCGTTGGATTCAGCTAACGATGCAGCTAGCGAAGCCTGTACCGTGCTACGGAGTGCCCCGTAGATGCACTCATAGCACTTTTTACAGCACTCACAGTCAGTGATACTCCACTATTTGATTCACTCGGCAGGCCTTTCCCTCCTGCTTTGCACCACCACCACGTCACAGTTGAGGCTGGCGGTGCTGTCACTGTGCATTCGCTGCTCTGGGCAGGTTACGGTCGCTTACAGTACACAAGAGCCAGTCGCCACGACTACGAGTATATGCGCAGATTCCCAATAGGTATGTATAAAAAAATCCCACATTGATATCAACTTCAACATTATCCATCACTCTCCCCCCGCAATCAATTTGACGCTGCCAGGCACCGAATAGCCTCACTCTCACCCGAACGGGTACCAACATCCATGACCTGGCGCTTCTGCTCTCCGTCCACTGGCAAGCGCTTTCCACCTTGAGGTAGGAGGGAAAAGTCCGTTGCCCTGGCCCCCCGTGCTTCTGCGCTTTTTCGTGATTGGGTTGGCACTACAACTTCGCCTCTCTTGGCTAACTTCAACCAATCTATAGCCAAGGAGAGATGTCAGCTCTGCGATATTTTCCTTAAAGCTACACAGCATACGCTCCGTACAGACCTTACACACTTAGGCAGTCAAGTGGTGCGACGATGTCGCGTGAGCATCGATATCCGCGCTCTTGAACGATACACAATCTTCATCTCCCCGCGAATGGTGCAAGGAGAAGGAAAGATGGCGGCAGTTGGTCTGAACGACCGTCTCAAGCGGGATATGGCATGCAGGTGTGCGCCTCTCCTCTTGGTGGCTTTGACTTTAACTTTATCCAAAAAACCTCAATATATTTGGTCGACTTTGGAGGTTATCTTCGGTTTACGCGGAACACATGGACGTGGGGTCTGATAAACATTTTCCACGTGTCTTGCACGTTGAGAAGATTCGAGTACGAAGGAATTAGTACAAGTGTACGACAAGCCAGGTTTAATTAGAGAAGTCGGTGAAAGATCCTCTGCGAAAACCATCGAAATTCCCTCGTTTCTCCGATGCATTCGATGTATTCGGTCTCGACCCAGCTTCATGGTCGTACATGATAACATCGTGAACCCTCGACAAAACTTTTCTCGGTCACTCACACTCGTTCCAAGAGCTTTCTTCTCATCATACATTCTGGAAGATATGACGACTTGGTTGTTTCGAAGTGATAGGTCTCCATTTGTCGACTAGTGTCGATTCATTCGTACTCAGCGGTGTCAATGTGTTTCGAACTTTCGGCCTTGTACTATGGAATTGTCTTGGTGGCAACACATGATTCTAGTGTGTGGTAATTTCTGCCTGCATACAACTTAATTGCAAAACGTCTCGGCAGATAGATACTTCTCATACTTGGCCTTCTGGTCGTTACCAAACAAAACCCATGGCAGGATACATACGTCTTGGGAATGAACAGTTATCAGCTATTCAGACTCGTCGAATAGCTGCCCAATTTACCCCAAACGCACCTTGTCTTTGAATCGTTCGAATCTTCTTGCTGTCTATTCCCAAATCCTAAGCAAGATTTATTGTGGCATAACACAAATGGCCACTTGAGTTTGTATCAACTCCCAGCCAGGTTAACTAAGTACATCATCATCCAACGCAACTGAGCATCGAGGCATCCCTGATATGGATACCATACAAATTCAAATATCATACAACCGCAACTCACAAATACCATACTCGAGTATACAACTTCCAATCATCCGTCTCAGGTAGCTTCTCCATCACCACCACCACATCTCACCCATCTGAGGTCCGTCTACCCCAACCACCTCCCAACCCTCATACTCTCCCTCCCAGAAATCTAAGCGACGAAATTCCATCCAGGCACATATAGTAAAAACTCTCACGACAAACCCTCGATTCATACACAGTACCGTACGAAATAAACATACAAACAAGACCCCTACGCTCTCGGACTCTACTCGAGTACATCTCAATCACATGGTCCTACCTGTATCCCAGGATCTGATAATCAGATAACGTTCATCAGATCCCATCCACCACCTGACCTTTCCCTTCATTCCTTTCCCCCAGGATATGATGATCAGATAACGTTTATCAGATTATCAGATCCCATCCATCACCTAACCTTTCCTTCCTTTCCTTTCCGATTACTACCGAGTGTTTAAGTACTTAGGTTAGGTTAGGTAGGCTGTGCGGGTAAAACGGCCAAGTACTGGTAGATTTCTCTATATTAGGTAGATGTCTTGTTTATTGATTAGAGTTGGAAGTTTGAAGTAAGTGTTAGGTAGATGTCTTGTTTATTGATTAGAGTTGGAAGTTTGAAGTAAGTGTTAGGTAGATACCTCGATATATGGATGAGGTGGGGCGCCGTGGGGGTTTACTGGGTAGGTGGTATGTACGAAGTAATAGGTCGAAAGAGATGTGAATAAATTCTTATATTGAATAACCATTATTAGCCCAACTTCGCCCCGAAGGACGTCTGTAAACCGCTTATTTCTACTACAAATACACCTACCTCTTGATTGCAGGTTCAGTCCATCCACTATGTCTTGTTTATTGATTAGAGTTGGAAGTTTGAGATACTGTTAGGTAGATGTATGGATGAGGTGGGGGTTTACTGCGTGGGTACTCGTAAATTAGGTACTTTCCACCTTACTTCTTAATTAGATAAGTAGATGTCGTGATTTCTGGGGTTTTTTTGGGGCCCGGGAGACTGTAAGACTGGGAGGATGGGAGAATGGACTGAGAGACTGGGAGGATGGGAGAATGGACTGAGAGACTGGGAGGATGGGAGAATGGACTGAGAATGGAAGGATTAATTTAACCATACTTAAGTACTTACTTTAGTTCGCACCCATCGCTATGGCTTGGGATCTTCTTCATCCCATCGCATTCATAGCTCCCTCTACTGCGCCACAAATCTCTTTCCCCACCTCTCAATCTCTAAGTTAAAATTCTACCATCTCCTTTCCTCCATCCCCTTCCCTTCTTTTTCATTTCGTGAACTTAACTTGGTTTAATAATAGTAACTTTGCCATACCTTACTACACTGCACTGCACTACACTGAACTGCACTGAACTGTACATATGGTACTATAGGTAAATTTAGCTACCTACTATAACCTACTCTCATCCCCACTCCACCCCTACTCCACTCCACCTTCTCTTACGTTCACATCTCAAAATCCTATCCTATCCTATCCCACCTATCCTATCCCACCTCTCCATAGCGGCATTAAACCGCACATTCTAGTCCCGCCTTGATATCGATCAAGGCCTTGTATTACTCTACGAGTACGGAAAATCCTAAAAGGATTTTTTAATAGTTCCAGGATAATGGAATAGGTAGATGCTAAAGAAGACTAGACTTGTACTAAAGAAGGGCTTTAGGATTTCATCTATATTTTTATGATTTATTTTTAAGACCTACTTTAAAGAGAGGGTGATAGTAGGTACTGTAGGGTGTACAAGCGTAAAATGTACGGTTGAATAGCGACATGGAGAGCCTCTCGCTCCCCCTGCCCCACCCCCCCAAATTCAACGGTACTGTACTGTACTGTACTATACAGGGGGGTATATGTGGACGTGCATGCAGGAATTTTTTCCAAATTGAAAAAGAAAAAAAGTGGGAAAGAGGGAAGAGAGAGGTGTGTATGGTATGACGTCGTCGCTTTTTTTTTTTTATCTCCCCTTTTTTTTTCTTGAATCTTTTTAATTTTTAGGCTTGGGAGTTTGGGGGCTTTGGTGGGGTAAGATAAAGTAGGGGAGATGGGGTTTCTGGTTTTGTTTTCGTTTCTGTTTTCTTCTTAGGTAGGAATGATGGCGAGGCAGGAAGTTTCTTGATATTGTGAAAATGAGTGAGTGAGTGAGTTAGTAAGTGTTGGGTATCTGTGGAAGCTAGGCTTAGCGGATATTCTTCTTTTTTATGAGGTGCTGCGCCACAAGGCCTTGGGACCTTGGGTGTTTTCCACCAATCGGCTGGGTTTGCGGGGGTGGATGTGGATGGTAGTGTGGGGTATAGGTATTGTTTGGTTAGGTTTGGTTGGGTTGGTCTTTCGTTTTTTTTCTCTTGTGTGCGGGAGGGGGTGAGGCGTTGTTTGAACTTTGGAGAGGGTGTTTGGGAGGCTTGGAATTTAGAATTCAAGGGATAGAGTGTTGTATGGAGGGATTGTATAGTGATTGTATGATCTGGGTAAAAGCAGGCGAGGCAGGGTAGGAACCTACCTGGGTAAGGTTAAGGTTAGTTTATATGTTCTGTGAATGTGAAAGGAAGGAGAGTGGCTGAGATTTCTTTACTTTATGTTTGCGTAAGTTGATTTGGGAGATTCAATTGTTCTACTCAAGTAGAGTAAATGATTTTGAATAACGACTTCACTTACTCTAATAGTCAGTGCACTGTAAGCGATTCAGTAAATAAGTTTAATTACTTCAAGTACCTAAGTTAATAAGAGTATTTAGATAAGGTTTTTTGAGTACGCCAGCAGAAAAGGATTCACTGCCACTTTTCTTGTCTATCGACTATCTACCTAGACACTTACACATAGTATTTATTGGCGTAGTTAGCGAGTATAGTTGGGTACTTTACCTTGGAGAAACTTTCCGAATGTTTTCAAATCGGGCTCTTACTCGGCCATACTCTTGTTGTAAGGTTTTGTTTTAACCTTACCAACCGTAGATAAAAAAGCTTTAGACTATAAGAACAAGCTCAACCGGTGGCCTTTATTCAACCCTTTCTCCCCCCAAACCCGACAGACTGCTTTGCCCAGGCGGAATGGTTCCTCGAGAGATCTCGGCGCATTAGTACTATATGTACCGCATCTGCACTGCCGAGTGAACGAAGTCTTGAATTGAACAGAAAGTAGAGCTTAATCTGGTACTCGTGCCTTGCATGCCTATGCCCATGCCATGCCTTGCCTATGCCCGCCCTCGAGAAGACCATGATCGTATATGCACCGTTGTGTTGTCCTTGGATTATCGAACCACTGATTGGAAGTAAGGGGATGTCCTATCAGGGAAAAAGCCTGAATGGAAACACCATTCACCATGTTGTTGACTGGATGTGTGTGTGGCGCAGCTGGCAGAGATGTTCTTGAAACAGGACCAGCCGGCAGTAGTCCCACCATTCACCCCGCCCCCCTCGTCCAGCACAGCCAAAAGTCACCCCTCCATACCCATCTGGTAGCTGGAGAGCAGAGGTGGTTGATGATAACGTCATCGTGCTCCCTACATTTATTTCTGTGTATCCGTACCCGAGTTCAGTCAGTCAAGAGTGATCCCAGACTGGTGCAGAATCCAATCTCAGTCTCCTTTAAAGTGAAGCTATTCACGCTCCATTCTTCAGTTCGCCATTGAAAGACTCTGCCCGTAGAGAGGGATTCCAGAGCAAGATAGCTGCATCCGGAGGTATCCTGGACCTGGACAATTCATACTGTACCCGACCCTCGTCCCCACATTGATCGGGTCACCCTGCGGAAAGCTCGCGTGTCGCATCGATCGGCGCACTCCAAACTTCACCAAACCAAACCCAAGCAGCTGCAGACCTTGGACCGTTGAGCAGACTCTGGTACCCGCATTCCAGTATTCGGTGTTCCAGTATTCAGTATTCCAGTATTCCATTCTCGCAGTATTCTGCCTTGGTCGCTGCGTGTTGGAGTGGTCGTGGTCTCATCGACTGGGACCGCTAGTTCGGGTCAGTTACTTGGGTACCTATACCGTTTGGGAGCAGCTTGGAAGATTTGTGCCAGACCTCCGACCTCAGTCCTTTGGGCAGCGCAGCAAGTGGAATTCCCCCCCTCCCCCCTCCTCCCTCCTCCACTACCACTGGAGCAGTCGCCCGATCCCGAAAAGTCTAAACCCAAGATTCCTCCCACAAGCTGCAACCTCGAACTTCTTGCGATATCCTCTGAATCATACCTTACGCCTTCTACGGCTCGCACGGCTGCTCCCTATCTTGCCGGAACCTTAGCGCTTTCAAGTTGGTGTGCTGCCCACGTCTCTGGTCGCTGGTGAGCAATCTTACTGGTGAGCAATCTAACCCTCCTCCCAGATACTCGTACTTCCACTCGCATCCTCAACTCTATCCCGTCGCATGATGCCCGTAGCTTGAAAACTTACTTTCCATCTAGAATCTTACATTCCCACAGCTGATACTGCGAGCTCTTGTCTTGTCTTGATGCCAAGAGTCAAAGACAGTATCTAAGATGGCTGCTACCCCTCCAAAGAGTAATTCAGGTGCTCCTGAAGACTCCGTCGACTTTGCTGCTCCCACAACTCCGGGTTCAGAAATCTCGACTGAATCCGAATCTTCCCCTCCTACTCCTCCAACCGATTCGAATGCCCCACGGATTCCTTCCCTGCGATCGATATCCGATCCCTCAGCCTCAACTCCTATGAGCACTTCCTCAACGCCCCTCGGAATGTTACAAAACGCTAGACGGCCGGCTGCTCCTCCAGCGTCGATGTCGAGTACAAGAACGAATGCGAGTGCAGCAGGTGCTCTACCGCAAGGCTTAGAGGCGAAGATGCGTGCCTTTCAGCTGACAAGACAAGGTACGCCACCAAGTCGTCCGGCAGTAATGGGTGCAGCTTCAGGTCCAGTGCCTAATCCGCCAAATTTCGGTGGGTCGGGAAGAGGGGGCCTCGCTGGTGGTGTAAATCTACAATTACCAGGAATGCGCCCTGTTGCTCATAACTTCAATTCGGCTCCTGTGGTCCCCAGGATGCCCGTCAAGGGTTTGGCTGCGCGGAGGCAGAAGGCGGGAGCACCAAATCTTGGGGGTTTACCTCCTGCTTCACCTGTACCCGGTGCTCCAGGTAGTATTCCAAATACCAATGGTGGCGCGGTACAACCATCGAATGACACAGGTTCCATGTTCAGTAAATTCTCGGAATATGTTGATACGGAAAAAGGTGTCTTGAAATTTGCTGGGAAAGCCAGTATTGATGGCACGGGAATTCAATTCAAGGGTGGCCACACATTCAACATTTCTCTGGATGAAGTTGACACTTTGGAGGAGTTGGGAAAGGGAAACTATGGAACTGTTTATAAAGTCAAGCATGCGAGACCGCGAATACGCCGTCCAGGACTTGGGTTGGCTGGCAACAAGTTGACACATTCCCAGTCGTCTCCCATAACACCATTAAGCGATCCTGAAACAGAAGAGACCACGGATATACCAGCCAGTGGAAACCTGACTGGGCGTGTCATGGCGATGAAGGAGATCCGACTCGAGCTCGACGATGCAAAATTCAGAGCCATCATCATGGAACTTGATATCTTGCACAAATGTTTAAGTCCCTACATTATCGACTTTTACGGTGCGTTTTTCCAAGAAGGTTCTGTATACATATGTATAGAATTTATGGATGGAGGGTCGATTGACAAGATTTATGGTGATGGAATTCCGGAGAATGTGCTTAAGAAGATCACGTATTGCACTACACAGGCATTAAAGACACTCAAGGATGACCACAATATCATACATCGAGATGTCAAGCCAACCAACATCCTGGTGAACACCAAAGGACAGATCAAGGTCTGCGATTTCGGTGTTTCGGGCAACTTGGTTGCCAGTATCGCAAAGACGAATATCGGTTGTCAGTCATACATGGCTCCTGAAAGAATTTCAGGCGGTGGTATGTCACAAGCAAATGCGGATGGCGGAACTTATAGCGTTCAATCTGATATTTGGTCTTTGGGACTGACCATCATTGAATGTGCTATGGGTCGATATCCTTACCCTCCTGAGACTTATAACAATATCTTCTCGCAACTTAGCGTAAGTTTTTCGACACTCAAAATTGGGATACAGACTAACGAGTAATAGGCAATCGTCGATGGTGCCCCACCTGATCTCCCCGAGGAGGGTTACTCCGAGTTAGCTCGGGATTTCGTTCACGGTTGTTTGAACAAAGTTCCCGCCTTAAGACCAAGTTACAGTATGCTTCTCCAGCATGGCTGGCTTGCAGATCTGTCAAAGCCTGCTACCATCACCGAAGCCGACGAGGAAGAAGCTGAGAACGGGGGCAACGCAGCGGGTGAACTCCCAAGCGACACCCTTGGTCCTTCAGGAACGGAAGACGAAGAAGTGGGCAACTGGGTCAAAAACGCCATCGAGCGAAAGAAGAAAGGTCTGACGGGAAACGCTGTCAAGCCTGCGCTACATGCTGCCCCATTGGACACAGTTAGTCCGGCTGCAAGCCCACTTGCGCTTCCTGGATAGAATCGCAGATGTGATGATGGACAGTGAAGAGAATGAAGATGATGAAAAAGAAAAAAGTTCGATTGATTTTGACCGGGACGCGTGCGGATGCAGCGTGATCAATATCATCTATTGTTGTTATCAGACTTGGAAGAAACATACGCATGGGAAGGGAAGCTAGCATTCGAGAAGTCCTTTTTTTCTTTCTTTTTTAGAGCAAGCAAATAACAAGGCGCGTTTGGGGGAGGGTGGAACTCTTACTTTTGTCCGGTCGTTTATTTTTTCCTTTGCGCTTTTCTTCTATCCTTGTTTCTTTTGGAATACCTATACAACTATATTTTCTTTTCCCTTTTTGTCTTTTTTCTTCGAGTTCTTGACGATGATGACATGATGACAAGCGAGGCGGAGGGCATGGCAATATAGAATGCGTGAAGTAGGTGTAGTGAATGGATGGAGGAGGGGAATGAATGAATGGGTGGGGAAATTTGTAGATACAGAGGATGATTTGTAGGCAGTGAGGGATACGGGGGAATGGAATTGAATGGATGGCTTTGGAGCTGTGCTTTGAGCTATTCTGGACATTCTTTTTCTTTCCTCTTTTTTCTTTGCGGAACTTGCCTGATTTCGAAAACTTCTTTATGCTGATAAGATGTATGTGTGTGAGACAGTGTGTGGGTGCTTGCATGCCATTATGGCGATGGATTGGGATATTGAGAAAAGAGAAGATGAGATATGATGGGATGGGATGGGGGTTGTATATACAGTATAATTATTGTATTGTTTGGTTGATACTTTTACTCCCCATATGTTTCCTTGATATTTTTGGTGGGTGGGATTTTGTTTATGCTTGTTTCCTTTTGGGGTTGGAAAAGGGGTGGGATTGTTGGGTGGTGGGTGAGTGGATGGGTGTAGATGTAGATGTGTTGTACTGATGGTTTTCGATTTGATTTTAACGTGTTTTTTTGGAATTCGGGAGGCGGATGTAAAGAACATGAGTAGGTAGGTAGGTAGGTAGGTAGGTAGATATAGGCATAGGTATATCTGAAGCAAGTGATGCATGTGACTTATATAAAAGACAGATACGGTTGTTTAGGGGTATTGTTAGAGGGGTTTTAAGTAGGTGGGCATTTTATTTTGATTCTGACCTGGATAGAGTACAGTAAATGATTTCCCCGACTGGTGTGGTATCCTCGCAGACCTCGTGGGTCTACTGCGTAACTAGCGTTGCATTTCATGGTTGTTTAGATGGAGAAAGACTGGTTGGTTGGTTGAATAGAACTTTGAATACTGGGATAAAATTTACCTTCGATTGAGGATGAATGCGTAATCGGGTTGTAAGGGAATCATATCTTTTGTTTTCTATAGCTTACGTGTTTCAGGGAGGATGAGATGTTTTTGTATATGCTGGATACTTTGTGAAAGGCGTTAATGTATCTAATTTCGTCAGAGAGAATTATTGTTGACTGGCTTTTGTGGTCCAAATCAAGTGTCTTCAAGCTGTTGCGAGTATCTGTAGTTGATTGGCTCGAGATTGGCAGCGAATGGTCATCATCAAATAAGCCACCAACAAACACTGCCTACAAGTGGGGAACTTGTGAGTCATATCATTTCAAAAGCTTCTTGTTGCAGCTTAGCTCTTACGACTTATCCTTCTTGGATTTTGTGATCAAATTGTCTATAAATGAGCAGTGCTCTGCTTCTAAGGACATTTTTCTTCCTCTTTCTTTCACAGTAAAAGCTCACTTATTGACTAGATCAGGTGTATATTTGAAAAGTGTATTTCAAAGAAACTTTTGTTGCAGTATTTGTGGTGCTTGTGAAATATCGTAAGATGGAATATCAAACCGCCACAGTAGATCTCGCAAAGTTGGAGAAAGTCCGTCCATTAGGTAAGTCCCTGTTTTCAACTCACTCATATCACAGTAAGCGCTAATTAACCTCATAGGTAAAATGGAAGAATTCTCCTCCGCCCGTTATCACCTGGATCTTTTCAAAAACGTAGGAATAACAAACACCTTCACATTCACGCAGACATCCTCCTTATTCTCGCTTAAGGACTTGGTGTTTTATGCCTTGACCAATGTTTTACAAAAGAATGTCAACCTCTCTACCATCGTCGTAGATAGAGCTTCTGATGCTCCTTATTTCGCGAGACTTCCTGTTGTGAATCTTGAGAAAGTTGTAAAGTTCCTTGAGAGGAAGATTTTGTTGAATGAAGATGCTGCAGTTGGTGAGGAACTTGACGATTTACTTGAGATAGAGAATAATACCTCTTTCAAATCCCAGTACGGACTGTTGCCTCTTTGGAGACTTGTTATTTTGAGCCATCTCTCTGTATCCAGTGTCTTCACAGCTTCGTTCTTTTTCCATCATGCTTTGGGTGATGGTACATCAGCGCTTGTTTTCTTGAGTGATTTCCAAGAAGGATTAAATTCACTTTATGCCGGTGTTAAAGCTAGTAGTGTGTTATTCAAACCAGAGAAGAATTCAATACTGCCAAGTCTCGAGGCCCTACTCCCTCATCCATATATCCCATCACACTCTCACCATCCCGAGAACCTCATCTGGACAGGAGAATGTAACCGAGCACCAACTTCAACCTGTGGCAAGTTCCACACCCTCGTTATCAACAAGGAAACCAGTCTCAGAATATTTCAAGCTTGCAAAGTTCATAAAACAACAATCACAGCACTTCTCACAGTCCTCGTCGCCAACTCCCTCTTCCAAATCTTACCTGAGAGGTACACACAGCTAGATTGCACTATTCCAGTGAACATCCGAAACCTACTCTCTCTAGATAAAACATCCTTCGGAGTCTACATCGACGCCTTGAATTTGCACCTCACTCGCCGCGAGCAAGAAAACTTCAATTGGGCACAAGTCATCCAAGTCAAAACCAAAATATCAGAGTATTTTACCAAAGCGAAGAAAGGGAAAATCAACGTAGCAGGCTTTGAAAACATCCCATCAATGATAGGCTTTTTCCAGAAAAGGTTTGAAGGTGAAAGAAATGAGAGTTTTGATGTTTCGCATTTGGGGGCTGTGAAGAGCGGTGGGGATGAGAGTTGGACGTTGGGGAGGACGGTGTTTAGTAGGAGTGTGTTTGTTAGTGGTGCTGCGGTGAGTGTTGGAGTTGTTACTGGTGGGGATGGGTGTATGGTTCTGAGATTTGGGTGGCAGGAAGGGGAGATGCATTGTTTCAAAAAGACGAGTTTGTAGATATTGATTTTGATGTTGTGGAGAGGGGGGTTGTTGAAGAGATGATTGGGAATCTGGGGGCGGTTGTAGAAAAGGTTGTGAGGAGTGAGTTGGTATTGTAAGCTGGTGAATGAGAGTCACTGGGTAAAGTGACTTGTGAAAGACTTAGAATTAAATGAAATAAGCAACCAGAAGAGGGGTCTGTGGGGTGAATGGATATGTGAACATCCTTATGTGGAAAACAAAATTCACGATTGTAGTACCTTATTGACTTGATCCTCATAAGTGAAGTGTAGGGACTAAAATTGGTAATCAACCAATCAGAGGGCGGTGGTTTGGGTTTGGTTTCCTAGCACAAAAAAAGAACTAATATCGTAACTCTCTTATTGGTTCGTTACAAATCTCACTATAACAACTAAATTTATATATACAGTACACTTAGGCTAGCCAGTAACTGCCAGAAATGTCTCCCAAGTAAACAAACGCAAGTTTTGAGAAAGCTCATCATCCAATAGCATCTTCAGTTTCGCTTGATTTTCATCTTTCAGAAGACCCACGCCAGCGCCTTAATCAAGTAAACATTTTGCCATAAGTCTCCTCTCTTGGATTTCCTCGATCTCTTTTTGATTCGATGGGTCGGTAAAAATGAGTCTCTCAACAACTCTTTCGAGAGGAGTGTACCCAGAAGCTCCCCGGACGTCATTGACAGCCCCAGCCTCAAAGAGCATGTTCAGAGTTTTCACTTTGCCCGAATATACTGCAGCCTCAAGGGGATGTGACTTTCCATTCTCATTTGTTGGCAGATTTGCATCTGCGCCCAGCTCTAGCAGTCGCTTTACATCTTCGGTAGGGCCAGCTCTACAGGCCATCCAGAGAGCGGTCTTACCCCCATTCATAAATGAATTAATGTTAGCTCTGCGCCACGTAGCAACCTTATTATATCCGTATCCACGTTAGCGTGGTTCGACACTCTTTCAAGTGGAGTTTCCCCACTGCTACTCTTCACGTCTAAATCAACTCCTGTTTCGAGCAGCCGCTTTATGGTATATGAATCTGCACGATCTGCTGCGATATTATTGGCAGTACCGTCGAAACCCATTCTATTCGCATCGGCACCAGCGTCAAGTAACATGTCCACTGAGCGGTGCTTTTTGGAAGAAACAGCTCCCTGGAGTGCAGTTCCATAAAATCCACCTTCTTGATCGATATCGAATCCCTGATTGATGAGCGTCTTCAGCGAGCTTGTCAAACCAAGTATCGCTGCAAGGTATAACGGTGTATAATTATGTACGTCGTCAAGTGATACGTACAGAGGATCCCACCAATTCAACTCCATACTGTTTATGATAATCCACATCTTTTGTGGATTGTGAAACCACAACCAAGATTTTCGGTTTTTCTCAGACAATAAAAATTCGAGAGTCAATTTGTTTACCTCTGAAGTTTCCAGGCCTTGAAAAGATGAGGCATGGATGTACCAGAATTCGCTTGCGTAGTTTAGAAGAGGAAATTCACTCAGGTCTGAGTGTGACCATGTTATCTTTCCCGAGTCGAAACACGAGTGTAGGTACTGAAGCGATCCTTTTGTACAAGCTTCGTCAATAGCAAAATTATTCATATGGAACATTGAAGCTGGACTGTGGAGTATGCGGTCGGAAGTCAAGTATTCTACCACAGAGAAATGTGCGAAATTCAAGAGGGTGGCAGGAGGATCCCAGCATTGCTCTCCCCAATTGAAAGAGGCTGGTCTAGCAGACAATACAACTAGACTGGAAAGTATCGGAACAATCCAATTTGGATCGGGCAAACGATTCTCCACTTGAAAAGGTGGGTACTCCATAGGATCAATGACAATTGCCTCCGCTAATTCGTTGATTTTAAGTGGTCTTTCTGCGCCAGAAATCCATTTCAAAGCAAGAACAAGTTTAGGTCGATGCTCTTCATCAACGGACGTGAGGATTCTCTCATAGGTCTCATCCAAGGTTTTGGGCAACGATTTAAGTGCCTTTTTGATATCATTCCGAGTCAGACACTTTGACAGCGAAACCAGTTGACAGTCAACCCATCGGAACCTATGTAAGGTTAGAGCCACTCTCTATGATCAAATGGGCAGATACTGGAAGAGATTTTCGTACATTCCATCAGCTCCGTTGACCAGAGTGTCTTCGATTTCGTCTCGAACATCGACAGGCCATTGTTTTAATTTTGACTGCGCAAGGCTAGCTTTGACGAACTTCTGGATATCAGATTTGACGACGGAGTCTTCAATTGAAATAGGTGGTGATGTTGTCAAAGGAGTCATTGATTTTTTCAAATCGTCTTCTGGTCGACTTGTTATTATTGTATGTAATTTTTGCAAACCCCATTCTTTGATCTGAATCAGGGTCTCGCAAACTTGATCTCTTTCTGCCTTGTCATTAGGGAATTCATCTAATGCATCTAGGACAAGAAAGACTTCTGTTGATATTGGAAGCTCAAGCAAAGCATGAAGCACGGATAGAAGCCTTTCAATGGGCGGCTGACTAAACTTGTAACTTTCATAAAGATTCAAAACAGGTCCGGGAAGTGAGCCTATTTGATCGACTAGCTGTTTGATTATTGTTCGCAAGAATATAGTTGTTTTTTGCTTGTTTGTGTCTTGGAAAGAAAAATAAAAATAAAGAAGGTGAAAAGCGGGTCGAGATTCACAAAAATCAAGTGTCTGCTCAATTATTTCGGAGCTACTCAAATTAGTACTGTAGTTGACAGGACGATAGGAAGAAACGTACCAGAGAATCGTCTTCCCCGAGCCTGAAATTCCGTGTAGCCAGAGGAAAGAGTTCGGCTCTTCTTGCCAGCTTTGGTATTTCTTTCCTTGAGTGAACCAAATTCCAGTCCGATCTTTATGTTTCTTTCTCGCAGCGTTGTGATTTGTACTTGGATCGGTATCAGATAACCAGGTCATGACTTTTTCGAATCTAGAATCTTGGAAACGTAAGTATACTTCTATTTTGTAGTCAACTTGTCTCACCCTTGTCGGAATTTTCAAGCCTAGAAATTGCAAGTCCAGTATCCACAGATTGAGAACTATTGCCAAGCATTAGAGAAGAAGTCCTCGAATACGCAAACAACTCACATGTTTTCGACTTTCAAAAACTCCATAAAGATTCGTTTCTGATGTTCAATATTCCCAAGATATACTTCTACCTTCGTCTTCTTCAACGGCCACTTTATCCTTTCAGCAAGGGATTTCTTGATCCCCTCCATGGGAATGAGTTTCTCACGGAGCGCCATCATAGATTTCTCAGTTTCCTTCAGGGGTCCATTTGATGAACCAAGGGGGACCAGAGTCGGCCATGTTTCCAACGGAAGGCCCGATTTCTCTACTCGCTTTGCTAGATCGTCGAGCCTGTGAAGAATAGTTTCGATGCTGGCTAAGCGATTCTGGATACTTTCAATATCTTTGGCTGCGTTCTTAACGGCTTTACCGTACTGTGTCAATTGCTTGCCAACCTCAGCCGTGATTTGAATAACCGCGATGACGGACGCAGCGTGTCGACACCTAGCTCAGCCATGCTGATTTGTGACAAGTTGCGTAATATCGTGATATGCTGTGAACGATATGGAAAACCAGCTATTGGAGTCGTTCTACTTGATTTCGCTGCAGATGCCGGTATAGCAGATGGAAAAAAGAAGAAAGAAGAGCAGATTGGGGTTCTCGAGTTGTCGATCGAGTTACCGAGGCCTGGAGAGGGGTAGGGGCAGTACCCATGTGAACTAGCGTAGCACTGCATACAATAGCTTGCACAGCCTAATGAAGGTCTCTCAACAAATGGGAACATATCTTCTGTACTCGAAAATAATCTGATAGATCATCCCAGAACTCTTGGAATTGACTGCTTCACACAAAACTTACGCTGCAACTCACTAGTAGATACGAATAAATGCTTTCGTCTCGCTTAGCTTAGCGCTCATTATATCGTATGCCCAAATACCCATATGCGCACATGGGCCCGGATATTGTACCAATTGCATACCAGCTTAAGTTAGTCAGCTTACGCAACTTGCAAATTTCGAAAGAACTCGATGCCTCTACCCGACGGCTGATACATCATATTAAAGGGACTGTACGAGTACGGCTCGTGTCCACCCCTCCCATATAGACGACATTGTTATAGGCAGTGTATAGCCCCACAATATGACCCTCTAAGCTTATTGGACTGTCCAATTCGTTTGGAGGTATATCATAAAGTGACAGGGGTGAGGCGACCTGAGCTGTCCAGACCCTTTGCGCACTCAAAAGGTTAGCCGGACGAACCAATAGCTCCACTTGTTGTAAATAAAGAGCTTGAAAAGGACTTGAAAGCACTCAGTTGGGTAGCAATCCGCGGGATGTTTTATAAGTGACAAAAAGGGCAGGAGGAGAAAGGAAAGAGGGAACAACAGGAGAAGGAACGACAAGGCAAACATACTTGGGATTCCGAAGGATTTCAGGAAACGAGGACACATATCCCCCTATCCCTTCCCTGCAACGTTTCCTTCATTTAAGGATGGACGCATTGGGTTGTTATAGAAACAGTATAGATATTTAATGAATGGATACCGGAAAGGATTGTGCTTATCCGGGGCCTCTTCCGACCTTCAGGGATACAGATTTTGCATTGGATTCGGATTTGGATTTGGATGTTCATCGGATTTACATATTACTTGGATGTCGGCATCTTATTACGTACAAAGAGCCACCGACTTGGCTTTCCGAGGGAATAGTGACGCTGATGTATCGTCTTTCGAATTTGTAGCGAATTGTTACAGCACGAGTATTCTCGACTTCTCTGTCTAGCACTATCGTATTCCATGGAAGGCGCTAGTCCTATTTATGCCGACAGATAGCTCCTATATTAGAGCCCTGCTCGCCCCTAGCTAGCTTCTCTCTCTATGCTTACTTTATTCTCACATTTTGCCCTCGTTAAGATCTTCTAACATATCATGTCTAGTCATGTGATTAAAAGAGATAAAAACAGCCCTGAGAACTTCGATATTATTAAATACCCCCTCGTGCCATGGCATGTAGATTAAGAGTTAATTTTAGCAATAGGGCGATACCCACCTTTGTGGAAATAATCTTCCGAAAAACAAGCCTTTATTTAAGCATAATCATACTCAAAAAGTCAAAATTGAAGCTATTCCGACAGAAGTCTGAAAAGGTTGTCATCATTTCATACTACAAATTGATAAGAATCTCTATCGTCGCTCGAGTATCTCTTATCGCCTACATTATCAGAGTCCCTATCCTGATTCCTAGTTACTGTTTTATAGCCGCCATGATTATAACACACCAGAAAACAATGCTTATACAAGGGTATTTCGCAGATTCGACACTGTCGTCTCGTTACTTTGACTTTGATAAGTAAATACCTAAGCAAATGTTTGGTGAATAATCATTTAACTACCTTGGTAAATCGTCCTTAAGGAACTCACGGACCATCGAGGGTAGAGTACAGAATAGTACGAACCAGTGTAGACTACCTGTTATCAAGCCACTTAGAGAGCAGCGTTCTACAGGTACTGTACCTAGGTAGATAAGTCCGACAACCAGAAGCTCCAGCTCATCGCAATTTTCTGCGAGTATGCATGAGGAGAAGGGATTCTAGCGAGTAGGGGCTTCTAGTCCACACTATTCCACACTGCTCCATACTCCACCTTCAATGGTCCGTAAGTTCCTCAAGGACGATTTACAGTACCACGGTATGGATTCTGGCTTTTATTTCTACGGCTTTATGCACCCTTTCCGACTATTTAACGGGGATATTTAAGACACGGAAAGTGCGAATATTTCTACTTATTTTTGGGTACGGCATATACGGATTTTGCGTCGCATAACGACTTAGATTACAACAACAATTGTAAACCGACTCTTGATTCGAGTTTACGTATAATAATACAAGAATTTAGAAGTAAATTTAGAAAGATTCAAAGGGTCGATGTTCTATTCCTCGACATTTTCTTGTTTTGAGGAACCAAGCGAGCCAAGATGACTGCATTCGTAAGAGGGTTGGCAGTTGAAGCTGGACACTGTCGCTGATCATAATATGTCTCAGCCCCGATTCTCAGCCAAACCAGCGAATCAGCAACTTAGGTCTACGCGATATAGACCTTTCTCATATATGATCTAAATATAGATGACAGTGTCGAGCTTAACTGTCCACTCTCTTACTTCGCACGTAAAGACGGCGGACAATTCAATCTATCCACGCCCAATGCGGAGCGAATATAGGTAGGGATTTTACGCAGATACCACAACTTATTTCATGTTACTTTTACCGAGTTCAGCCAATAGTTTTACATAAACCGCTTGAAATCGCCTAGCAACAGCATAAATTCTGTATAGATCTATTAAAAACTGGTGGATTATACCCACCTATATTCGTTCCGCATTTGAGGTGGAATCGTGGATATACCGAACAATCCACCCTCTTTACTTCGTCCCAGACTTAACAAAACCCGAGTTTACGAGGGTTTTAACCCTGTGCTCCACTGAATATCCCTCGTAAACCTAACTTTTGTTATGCCTGGGACAAAGGACAACAAGTAGGATGCGACTCTTAGCTGTTCACCCCCTTGATATCCTTGAATATTCCCGCCAAATCCTTGTATGGAGTTTCACCTGTCCTATATATCCCGCTCGCCGTCCAGAGAAATTCATGAAATATCAAGCCATCAATCAATCAGCTTTCTTCAATTATCTCTATACCTATAAAGCAAAATACGTCTCATCAGTGTCCTCTTCTCTCTGGCTCTCGCCTCCACCACCATGGCATGGACATGTACCATCTCCGAAGCGGTGTGCAATGAAGCTGCCGAAAACCAAGGCACGGTAATAAATCCTTGATACTTCTCCGGCTATAGAATCGCTTGCTAATCCCGTGACAGTTTGCTCAATCATGGCAGTGTAATCCCACGGCTAAGATCAATACTTGTACTTATGACGATGGCCAAACGTTTACCGGGGGCAAGGAGTAGATGTCATATCACTCTGATATGGAAACTGGTGGATCGTGTACTGTGAACAGGGGGAGCGAAACAGGCGTTGTGGTGGAATAAAATGGTTGTTTACGACCTCTGGAGCTTTGAAAGGGATTGACATGCTTCTGGATTGTAGATAGACTATCCCATATCTAGGACTCGTAGCTAGTACTCGACACCTCCAAATACACTCTTGATTCCGTCCACTTTACGAACCATTCTATATGTCCTAAATGGGATCGTAGATTTTTGTTCTGACTCTTGGTATATTATTTTATATTATATTAAGTTGAGTATAAGTTTAGGGATACCTTAGAGATAGGGGGGCAAGTCAGGTATATATATAAGAGATAGGACTTTGAGGCTATCTCCTAGACCTTTCGGGGTATTCTTTGACAAAGTATTGGCACTTTAAATCTCTGTACACTAAATATTCACAGCAAAAAGGTCGAGCACGCCCTTGATCCAATTGAAAAATCCCCCGGACGATCTAGGAGATAGAGTAGAGGTTATATTCTTATAGTGACCCACTTTGTAGGAATAGAGAATCAGAGGAATGGCTCGCTTAAATCCCGATCACATTAATAAATACTTATCTCGTTCATATTCAAAGCTTGAAGTAAGTATTATATAAGCCCTAAGATAAAGCCAGGATTTAGTATTCACCACTTCTAATAACTAGCAGGATTTATGGTGAATGAGGATGGGGTTGCTTAGTAAGCCATGGTGGATATACAGTATATCCCACCCTACTACTGGAATACTATACTCCTCTAACACCACCACTATATCTACTATATTGTTAGCTATACTACTGTGAGCACCTTTTCTCTTTTGTCCTACCCACATGCCCCTCGCTATTAGCTCGCCGTGCTAGCGCGAGTTCAGGATGTGTTATCTGGTTCTTACTCTTGAGCGTTTCTTGCTCTTTCTTGCTTCGCTTTATGCTTGCTTCGCTTTCCACCATTGAGCCTCCTAATTCACTGGCTATTAATATAATAGCTAGAATTAGGAGCTTTCTCTAAATATGGGCAGAGCTACAAGTACTAGAACTTTGTGTCCTTTCTTTTACAGGCTACGTGCTTGTCCATAAGCTGTGTGCTTGTTTTCAGTTAGTTACTGCCCCCGTAAGGGACGCGTGGCTGAGGGTACTTATACTTCGCTTTCCACTTCTCTATATGTGGGCGAATTATAAGCACTTGAAGCTAGCCAGCAAAATACAAAAGAAAAACCAATAATAAGCCTCATTTGATGTGACGTGTACCGACTGACGATTGAACACAAATACCCCATTATCTCTCTCTAAAGTAACAATCCCCATTACCCTAGATATCACGCGTACTCCTCCATTTCAGAGAGCAATATCAACAAACAACATAGAAAATTTGTGTCTCTCGTGTATAGGGCTACTCGTGTACCAACGAGAATTATCGTCGATAACTCTTACAACCAGCATAAAACAGCAGTAACTTTTATAAAATCCCAACGCTTAACATTCTCAAAACCTCTAACCTTCTTACAGTATGACAACCCCTAAGCTCCTGAAATACTTACGTACTAATGAGCGACATGTGCTGACCTATGATCAATACCAAGGCCACCCACCACCTACCTCTTCGACACTAGTACAATACTAACTCCCTCACCTATATATACATTATCACATCATCTCAAAAATAAACAGTCCCAACCCCCCCTAACATAAACCCTACCTGAAGCTCACCCCACACTCCAAAAACAATCTCCTCCCTCCTACTAAAGACGCTCAAACAACCCCCAATTTCCAAACAAAGAAAAGCAAAAAAAGAAAAGAAAAACCAACAGAAAAAAAACATAAGCCCCCATCCATAACCCAACCACACAATCTCCGATGAACCCCCCCAAGCCCGCTATCCAGACCCTTACCGAAGCAGTAAGACACAAGAACACACCACAACCACCTAGTGTATCCCACGAAACCTTGCGTTACTCGTATACTGTAGGAGTTATCCAAATCATCCACAGTAGATTCGCTCATAATCATGCGTTGGCACTGTTGGAGACCGGGTATGTAAGCAGGAGAGTTTCGTTAGATTTTGTAAGGATATGATGATTAATTTGGTTTAGTTTTTGAAGGCTGTCTGTAGACTGGAGTGTGCTTGGGGAACGGTATACCTGCTTGACACAGCACATTATATCAACGAGAGGAGCATCGAATTAAGAAACAGCACGAATGAGACAGGCGCAAAGAACGAGTAGAAGGAAAGACTGACCTATATCAGAGGGAGAAAAGGTATGAAACCACAAACAAAAAGAATATAGAATGATAAAAGTAGCTACTGATGCTATCCGAAAAAGTTCTAAATCTGCCTTCCTTCCAACCCCAACCCCGACCCAACCCCTATCCAAGAAAATCCAACCCAATCCAGTCCAATCCACCTCTTTCTCGCCGCGGCCCCAAACATATTCAAGGAAAAGAAGAAAGGAAAAAGGAGAAGATTCAAGACTATCCCTATGCAAACATCGAAAGTAAAAAAGGAGACAAAAAAACAAATGAAAAAAGGGAGGGAAAAAAAGAGGGGGTATCTTCATGCAAAATATGCCTGACTGCCTGCCTTCCAAAAGAGAAAAGAAAAAAAGGTCATCTCCTAACTACATACGCCCAACATTCTCTTTCTCTTCTCAACTCATGCTCTTGTGGCCGTGTAGGTACATTTCATATCAAAAAGTTGGCCGTTTTCGTATCTTCGCTAGTATGTCCAAGTCCAAGTAGTGGGTTTCATGTGAAATGTATGTATGTTGAAGGGATAGTGACGGATGACGAACGGAAAAATGTAAAGGTAGGTTAGAATGAATGGTATCAATATCTGGATGATGTGAATGAGATGTGAGATCTGTGGTGCTCTGGGATCGTCGTTGTTATTCATGTAGTCATGATCCATTGGTCGTTGAATTTGATATATCTCGTTATTGCGATTTGTAGCCGTAAAATTCGTATTGATGCTGAAAACTGGTCGGTCGTATGTTTATCAAGGTGGATTCAAAAATAGCTGGTCATTTGAAGTCGTGCGTAGGGTCAGTTATGTAGAAGTCGTTATGCGCATCGTGGGCGAGTAGTTGAATCTAGGCATGACGTTGCAGGTTTTGAACGACGCCAACTACACCTAGATTCAAACTTCCGAATTTTCATCCCGGAGTTCTCGGGGTTCTTGGACTCATCGGACTGCTCATGGGACTCATCGCGTTCTCAATTGAGGCATGCCGTCTTTGCATCAAGGGTGAACTTTGTAGTTCAGCAACCACTCCCATCCAACCCATCTTGGGCATTTCCCCAACAGAATCATTGTGGCCCATGGCCTGTGTCGTCAACCTCCTCATCGGCGGTTTCCTCTTGACGCTCTCCTGTAACTCTTGAGTAAGATTCCTGACTGGCCACTTTGGTCTCTCAATCTTTTCCGGATCTTTCGGAGCTGGTTGATCCGTGCTATTCGCAGCAATCAAGCCCATATATACCACCAGAAATCTCATCCTCAAGAGATCCAATCTGCGCATTCTCTCTTCCAGCCTCCCTCTTTTGGCAGCCCACAACAGACGAGTACTAGGTCGTAATGTCGTCCCTCCGCCATCGATCAACAGCCTATTCAACTCTTCCCTCAGATCATCGCCAGACTTTTGAATCTCCCTCAACAATTTGCCCATGCGGAGCTTGTCATCCAGTCTCTGCAGCTTCCCCACATCGCGATCATAGCTCTCATTTTCCTGGATGGAAAAATCGACAGCGTCGATGAAGGTGTTGATCTCGTCGGGGGCAGCGAGGTAGGCAGAGGTATAGGTTGTCAGCGTCTGGCCCAGGACGAAAAAGGAGACCAGACAGGCGGTGAGGGGGAGGGAGATGGTGAGAGGGGAAAGGTTGCTCTGGTCTGCCATCGGAGATAGCGCTGGGGCGAGTGAAGGACGCTATGCTATGGGGATGTGATGCGTGGCATAGGCATAGTCTGAGGTTAAGAAAGTATAATATTTATGCGGGTGTAGCGAGGCAAATAATGAAGTCATGTACGAAGTGCCCACGGTGCCTTCCTGTTCTTCCAACCAGCGGTTTGCGTTCTGTGTGCAACAACGAGGCCGGACGCGATGGAAGACTGAAAACCAATCGAGGTGCGTTTTATCCCTGCACCTGCAGGAATGGGGTGCCCAACAAATCACACCTCATGAATGTGGGTAGTGGGTATAGGTATGATACATGAGTGCCTTCCGAGGTCTGGAAAATATATTCACGGGTATAAATAATTTCATTGGAAAGAATTGTGATTCATATATAGTTGTAGATGCAACCAAAAAAAAGTATATAAAAAACAAATGAGGGGTCCATGTGTACCTTACCTAAGGTCGGTCGAGAGTCAGGGTATCCCACCAAAAATGACTTTCTGACGTTTTACCCCGCCAGCTCTATCACCGCCACCATTTCTACCTACACCCACGCCAATAAATAAACCGACCAACACAGAATCAACAACACCATCGTACAACCACATCGCTCACCATGTCAGTCCAGGCACCACCTGCAGCAATCCCCACGCCCTCTCACATTGAGCCTCCAAACCCATCACATCCAGCCTCAACCTCACCCCTACCCCTCCCACCAATCTTCCAACACGACCCCGCGCCTCCTCAACTCATCACCCAAGGCGCCGAAGCTCTTCTCTACCGCACAACATACCTCCTGCCATCCATACAATGCGCGCTCAAATACCGGCCTTCGAAGCCTTATCGCCATCCCATTCTCGGTGCGCGATTAACGAAACATCGGATCTTATCAGAGGCCAGGGTATTGGCAAAGTGTAGGAAAGAAGGGGTCCCTGTACCGGCAGTGTACGGCTTAGATGAGAGGGAAGGATGGCTGATGATTGAGTGGATTGCAGGGGAGGTGTTGAGGATTAAGTTGAATGAGTGGTTGAAGCAGCGGAAGGACGAGAAGGTCCCAGAAGAGCGCGAGAATGCGCCAGATGGGGGCCGGATACACGAGGGACTGCATGTGCTAAAGGGCTTGATGGGGAGGATAGGAAGTGCGGTAGGGAGAATGCATGGAGTTGGGATTGTGCATGGGGATCTGACTACGAGCAATCTGATGCTGCGCCCGAGGAGTAACGATACTGCGGAGGGCGGTGCGGGTGATGGAGATGGCATTCTGGACGGTGAAGTGATACTTATCGATTTTGGATTAGCGAGCCAGAGCACAGCAGATGAGGACCGAGCAGTGGATTTATACGTCCTGGAGAGAGCCTTCGGAAGCACACACCCAAGGGCAGAAGGCATGTTCTCAGAACTACTCGCTGCGTATGGAAAGAGTTTCAAAGGGGCCAATATTGTGTTAAAGAAGTTGGAGGACGTCAGAATGAGGGGCAGAAAGCGAAGTATGCTGGGATGAGCAAACCAGGTACAGCAAAACGTATCAATTCATCCTGCACGGAAATATCAGATTCAAATCTGCTGCCACATAGGTAAACAAAACAGTTATCCAGATGATCGAGACGCAGATCAAAGCTCTATGCTGCAAATCCCCAAACGCCACCCACTTATGTTGCGTGACTCGTTCTATTTACCCGTCATGTCCTCCCAAGAATACTATTATTCTCGCAGCTCTGCAACGGCAAAGTAACCCTTGTTTTCGATGACACCTCGATCTCTAACGACTGCGGTATACTTGACAACCCACTCAGGAGTCAATTCTCCCTTCATACCGTCAATCCCTCTCTTCGCCTCTGACAGTACTCCGGCACCTTGCGAACCCTGTCCCAGAAGTTCTCTCAAAGTCCCACTTGGAAGGATGTTCGTGCAGTCATTATGCACATAGAGTTCGATGCCTTCAAGTTTTGCTAATTGGCGAAGTGGTGGTGGAACATTACAACAATCCTTGACATTGACTTGGTCCACCTTGGGTCGTACTCTTACTCTCTTCAAAAATCTTGACAGCTTCTCACTACCATATTCAGCAAGTCCCAATTTTTTGACGACGCCTTGATCGTAGAGTTCTTCGAGGGCGGCCCATGAGGCTACTTCTTCGTCGTCGTTTCCTTGTGCTGAATTCTTTTTATCGGCATCCCATTCACAATCGCCTTCAAAAGACATGCCTGGGAATGACACAATCAAGAGGTCAACGGAACACACGCCCAGTTCTTTCATTACCAGCTGAAGTGCATCCTGGGTATGCTGTCTCCTATCTTTTATGTCCGCACCAGGCAGATAGAACAGTTTGACCGTAATATCATATTGGCTTGGCTCTTCGGCGAGACCAGATAGCGTCCAGTCAATGGTAGGAATATAAAAATCGGTATTTTCACGGGTAGTCCAAATGGAGGGCGAGGGTCGCTGAGGAGATTCGTCTTCTTCGCCATTGCTTGGACTACTCGCCTTTGATCTGGACGAAGGAGAGTAACCCTGTTGCGCATTTTGAAAGTTTGATCGCAGAGAATTCGTTAGTTCAAGATTGGATGCGCCAGGCTTCCTTATGATCGAAGGGCCACCAGTCATAATGTTTCTAGTATTTCACCATAGTCAGCCCATCTGTCGTCTTCAGCCATAGCAAATTGGAAGATCATACGACGTGGAAAGTATTAAGCGCGTCATGATGGAGGTGTTGATGTAGACCAAGCCGAGGATGCGATCGATGGTAGAACAGTACTAGTTGACTTTTGGCGTCTGCGGCAGATCTAGCTGTTGGAACGAATTTCGAATATAAAAATTTCAGTATGTTAGAGGAAGCATTTGTAAGAGGTTAGGAATAAAGAATTTATAAGCATGTGCATCGAGTCTGAGGTGAATGATGGGGGGGCTAGAGAGCAGCCAGTGAGCCAGGCGTGCCACGCCAGGTTCTTTTTTCGGTGCCCCTCTTCCCGAGGATCGACCGGCAGAGTTCCATGCACGAGAAGGCGCAAGGCAGATAGAGGCGTGAGAGGCGGCCAGAGACGCTGGCTGGAGCGGTGGAGATATTGAGTTGACAGTGCAGAGTTGCGAGCATTTTGATCTCGACTCGAAGAAACCTCAAGTCTAAATAATTGAAACCCCCAATAAATACGTCTCCTCCACCGAATCAGCGGTTATTATTGTGACATAAACGTTTCACCGAAGATTGAGTGCTGAGGGTGCCGCTTTTCGAACAGTGGGGGTTCCATTTTGACCGAGTCCGCCACAGAACAGCAATAGCAACGACGCCAACCAAACAGCCTCACAAACATCTGCGAGGATGCCCATCAAGTAAGTCTCCTTGTTGATACACGAAAAGCTCATTACGCTGACTTTGAGAAGCTATTTGATTCTCCTTTCTCGCCAGGGGAAAGTGGTACGTTGCCATGTCGAATGATTCTTTGAGGGCAAAGCTGAATTATGGACAGAGGCTCGCAAAATGGTTCACCACACTTTCGCCGAAAGAAAAGGCCAAGATTATTAAGGATGTATCTCAACTTGTGCTGGCTCGACGGACGAGGATGTGCAATTTCTTGGAGTATAAAGGTGCGGGTTCAATGCGCCGCAAAGGAGGTTGCACACGCTGATGCCTCCTGGACAGATTCAAAAATTGTGTATCGACGTTATGCCTCCCTCTTCTTCATTGCTGGATGCAACTCGACGGACAACGAACTTATCACCCTCGAGATTGTACACCGATATGTTGAGCAGATGGACAAATACTATGGGAATGTGTGCGAGGTAAGTCATCACATGCCAGCTGCTTGTACACGAATGCTAATTTTGGGCCAGTTGGATATTGTATGTTGCAGACCACAACCCTTCCTAATTTCGAGTTCTAAATCCATTCAGATTTTCAACTTCCAGAAAGCATATTTCATCCTAGACGAGTTGCTATTAGCGGGGGAAATGCAGGAGAGTAGCAAGAAGAATGTTCTACGGGTCATCTCAGCACAAGATTCGATAGAGGATACAGAGGTTAGTAGAGACAACTACTCTCGTTGGTTGGAAAACACATCGACGGATTCCTTCCCTTTTTCTCCACGCACTGACACCGAACCCCCCTTTCTTAGGTTGATGAAGAGGTTACGAGAATTATGTGATCCCACGCTCAGAAAGCTAGCATGTAAAAAGTTTAGACGCAGGGGAAGCATGGCGCTTTGGAGTTTTAGGAATTTACACTGCATGAACATCGATACAAAATTTGTTTGTTCTTCATACGTTTGTATTTGCTAACCTGGGGCGGTTTGAATGTCTTTAGGCCGAGCAGGCTCTACTCGACGGGCTTCATGACGCTGGACTTATCGGTTGATTCCCTCGTTTTTTTATACAGGTCTGGTTATGGTAACATGGGCAATGATAAAATATTGGAATAAGGAAGGGATTCTGGGTGATACGGTTGCAGTTGTTGCAGTTATACCCAGAAATGCAAGCCATGCTAAGTACTTTTCGTTCAGGTTCCTATTGATGCTAATTGCAATAACGATAAAAATGACACTAGGATTACGGAGTATATCACAACGCCCCAAGCAGTTTTGAAAATGCCGTTGATCCAAAGTCATTACGCCCGTTTCAAAATTCCTAGATAAGCAAGTCTCTACGTGGATACTCTTATCATAGATATTGGCACATTGGTGGAGTCGCTTTGGAACACGCATGTTGTAACCTTATTTCATACAGCTACATACTCTCCTCTGTCTTTCCCGGCGGTGTACTCCAGTATTGCATTCTGTCCTCTTGCATCGTCTTGGCGTGGGGTTCTTTGTTGCTTTGGTATCTCTGGATTTGGAAATTCGATGGCACAGGTTTCTTTCATTGGATCACAAATGCCTCTGAAGAGAGTTGTTGAGTCAGATGACAAAACTCAGCTCATTCAGATAGCCGGTCGGGGTTGTGTTGCCTCCCTGTTATGATGGATCTGATTGATCGGTTCCAACGTGACCCACCTATTTCGAGAGGAGCGGTTGCGGGCGCCGGGGTTCTACACTTGGGCCACTTTATCTCCACCTCCCTCCCCATCAAGCAAGGCAGTACAACTCACCACCTACAAACGCATTCGCATTCGCAACTACTCGCCACAGACGACTACAATGTCTCCTACCTGCTAGACGAGAGTCTAGCTAGAGAACAACTTGATTCATCCTCCGCAGCCAGCGTGGGGAAGTGTCAATCTTGCCTTCTCAGCCTCAGCAGGTCACCTCAAACCGCATTCAACTCCATCTACCGGTGCTGCATCTGCAGTCAGTTGTCGCATACAAACAAAATATCCATCCCATCCCATTCCATCCCCCCTCATTACTATCTTGCGATATTCGAGACATCAAGTTCCTGGACGTTCGTTCTCCGAGTCTGAAGAGTTACCCCACAAGGTCGCTATCTCCTACAGAATACTCGGGCTCAACCACCACACGCTTCTGCCTCTACGATAACGCCCAACACTCTTCAAAACATTCATTGCCTTGACAGTGTTGGTAGCATACATTTAGAAACAGGTCTCATCTACCGCAACGATGAAGTTTCTACCCCTCGCCGACTTCGATGACGTGACGCGCGCGCTGAACTTTGATACACCCGATTGTCATGTCATTGGAGCATGTGAACTATACACAACCAAGGCAGCGGGCTCCGACAAGAAGCTGTATCGAAACATCGAAAATGCTTTGGAATCGCAACATAAATCCCTCGTTTCACTGTCGGCCTCGGTATCACCACCTCTCGGCTCGGGCGGCGATCTCCCAGCGATTGATCTGTCAAGAGCGAGCCCATTCGGCTCCCTCGAGCAAGTTTCAAGTCGACGCACATTCGCATATCTTATTGCGACGCTCAATGCGAGCCACTCCGATTACGATTTTTCCAATGTCCTCAGGCCTAGTGACTTCCGAAGAGAGAGGAGTTTGAAAGGGGTTATTGGCACAATTGATTCTACGCTTTACAACTTGAGGCCCAGTACAGGCACGACTCTCCATGTTCCACCGCAGACCAGCTATACAACAACTGCATCTGCGCCGGCAGCGAGTCAAGCTTGGGGACCACATATGTGGGCAATGGTTGATAACGAGATGAGTCTCAAAGACTGCACTGTGTACTGCTGGGCCCCTCCTGATGATCCATTTGATGGAGATGAAGGTTCTGTATGGAGTTTGAACTACTTCTTTTTTAACAAAGAGAGGAAGCGCATCGCATACATCTATGTCCGGGGCGTTCCGGTCATGAGTCACAGTCCACAACAGCGACTTGGCATGTCCAAAAGAGGCGCCACTGGCTACGACTCTGGTGCTAATAAGCGTGCGAGATACTGGCTTGGTGATCAAGCAGCTAATCTTACCAACGAAGATGATGAAGAAGATGTAGATTTAAATTCGCCTCTTCAATGGGAGAACGGTGGAAATGATCTATTCGACGAGGATGAATACTGTGATGACTATGATGACGAAGCTGATGACGAATCGGACGAACAGAAGTTCAGGAGTCCAATTCGGGAAATCAGCGAGGATATGGCCATGGATATGGAAATCTGATTTGGTGAGGGGGTTTTATTTGCTGGTTTGGTACTTTTCTGGGTTTGGTTTTCATGCGCTTCGAGGGCGAGTACTTTTTGGGAGTCGCTGGCAACGGCTCTGCAAGTGCTCAAGCTTAATACACTGTTTTCTCTGGCTTTGTTTTTGGATTCTTGTATGGTCATTTTTCTTTCTTTCTTTCTTTCTTTCTTTCTTTCCTTTGGTGTTTGTGTATGATTACTGCTCTCTGCATGTATCTAACTCTCTCGGTCGGTGAGAGCGGCTGAGAAAGGCGTATGGAGGGCATCATTCTCGTTTTTTTTCATTCGGGTTTAATGCGACACGGCATAGCTTTTTTTGCTGGCATTTTTCTTGCTCTGTAACTCCTGGAGTGGCCTCCAGCGAGCGAGCAAGTCGCGTCGGTAGTTTTCAAAGTTTTAATGATATTCATGTTTCCTGGTTTGTGATTTATAGGAAGTTGGGCATGTGTCCTTTTTCTCTTTGACCTTTGAAAGGTCCCTCTCCCTACTTTAGGTGTGGAAAGAAGGTATGGGTAGCGTTTGTATTGTAATGTTGTTACGAAGCTTTTCTTTACCTTTAGTATGCCTAGAGATATATCGTCTCTCGACTTCAGGTTCACAATAGGGAGATTTGATATAGATTTATAGTGTTCCTATCTCCGTTAATACAATAATTACTTGGTAGGTACCAATGAGAAGTTGGGCTTTTGTTGTTGAATTAGTTCCTGTGATGGGAATCTCTAAGTGACAATCCCAAGTCGGGATACCTACTCATGATTCTTGTGGTACTGTTATTGAATCCATTCCTTCCTGGTACCAAGGGAAGTTATGATTTGTTTTTCTTTTTGATGTTTGGGGTACTGTGAGCGCTGATTGGTGGGAGTCCTGTGATTGGTAAGAGGTGGATTCTTGGGAAATCTAGCGAGGATAAGTACGTGCGTCGGGGTCTTGTTGAGCTGGATGAGTTTGGAAGTACCTACCTAGTGTTAGTTTATGATGAGAGGTTACTTTAAAGAGTCTTGGCTGCGATTAGATTCTAAGTCGTACTGTACCTATGTACAGTACCTAGGTAGGTAGGTAGGTTCTCCATCTTGCAATCGATGCCAAGTTTATGAGGGTATAATCCTACATACCAAGTACTGGTAGCGAATACTTGATCACGGTCGTGTTTACATGCTCTAACATCTTTGTTTGCGAAGATTGGAAATTATTTTGGTGTTTACCTACGCTTTGATCTGTGGGGATGTTGCTGAATGAAGGATGTGTGCGAGGGAAGAGGAAAGTACCTAGGTAGGGTGTTGTGGAGGGAAGGTTTTGAGGAATTGACTTGCGGTAAGTGCCTGAGGGGAGAAGGAGGGTTTCCACCCTCATCAGCGATTCGAAATGGGAGTTAATTGAGAGGACGGGAATCTTGATACTGGAAGGGAGGGGAAGGGGGTATACTCAGACGAGAGGAGAGGAGGGTGGCTAGTGGTGGTGCCTTCCTTCTTTCGCTTCGCTGGTCTTGGCACGGGTTAGCTTAGGTACCTCCTCATGTACGAAAAGATCCGCCGATTTTAGTCTACTAGGTACTATTATTACTACTCACAATAAAACCACAACAACCCATCTAAAAGTTATAATTATTTGTAGCAAGGTTAATTAGCTTCTGGAGAGTTCGCTGGGATTTATCTTATATTTTTACGATTTTCTAACATTTGTTGTAGCCAATGCCGTAGTAGGTGTCTGGTACTGAAATCGGCGGATGATTCCGTACACGAGGAGGGTACTTGGGTAGGTTAAGATACATAATATTGTGGCAGAGGGAAGGTGAAAAGTAGACAGAGCCGTACCTTCCTTATTGGTTTCTCTTCTTTCATCTTGGCCACCTAGGTACACGAGGCCAGCGCTGGAAAGTCTAGATCGGGAGCTTCCAGATTCAACAAGAGAGGCACAAGGAAGGGAAGGAGCTATCTCCACATCTAGCTCCAATTCGCAAGTTTTCTTCCTCCTTCTTTCATCACTTTCACCACTTCGAGTGGCAATACTCGCTGTTCTGCCTTTTACTAGGACTTCGGAAGTCAATTAAGTAACAGGCAAATATGCCATGGTAGTTCTAATATTATAAAAAGTTGTACACGAGAGCAAAGATATATCTTGACAAGAACCTCAGACTATAAACAATTTTGTGCTGCGAATGCTAGCCCCTATTCTTTTCACAGGACGTGGCATGAGAAGGTTTCGTCAGCTTGTGAGTTGCATCAAAAATTAACCCTCCTTCGAGTTCGCAGCCACTTACTGTAGCTGGTTCAGAGTGAAACTTTCACATGGAAGCAAACTTCAGGCTCCGACTAATACCCAGCAAATGCACCATCGACGCTCGAAATATCAAAGCTGCTTTCTGAATAAAGAAGTTGCAAGGAATGTTTGATTGGTGCAGATGCCTTGCTCTACATATCACATGATACCTTACTCCTTTTTCATCGGCTTTTTCTTCAAATGAAGAAACCAATGATGATGCTCAATTCGTTTCGTGTTGTATCTGGAGATCGGTTCTGCCATTCCTTTCTAATATGAAAGCATGCATATCTTCTCTTGCCGTTGTTCCATATCTAAATAGGGTGAGGGCCCGGTGTTGCTAATCAAGAATCAAACAATCCCATTGAAGTAAAGCATAGATGGTTTTTCTAGCCTTTGTGATTGAAGAGACCTTTTCCTTGTCCCTGCTCTCCAATCTAACGATGACTTCTTTGTTAAGATACTCTCCTCAATAAAGAAAACCGAGGGCCCGCGCTTTTGCACCATTGTCATCGAGTACAGAAGAATCCTTTGTGAATAGATACTAATAAGACATTCGTGGCTGCACGGTCTACATAATGCCCTATTAGATGAACGTAGACAATAGGCATTTTAAGACTTTGAAATTGCAGGACATCCCACGGACTTGACTTATACGCACTACAACTATTTCTGCTTCTTACAAAATTCGAGAAACAATACGCATCTTTCAACGTATGGTCTTGCTTTAATTGGTACTTCGTATTATGCCCCATGCAATGCCGCTCTCTATTTATTCCAGCAAAGTTCCAAGACACGCAAGTCAGAAACCGCTTGTGCAGAACTTCAAGTCACATAACACGCCTATACTCCCCAACCTCAAAGTCTTCTAGGATTCTGTGTGGTGAAACGCAACCTTAGAGCTTTTCTGCTTATCCAGCTTCATTTTGCACAATGAAAATGAGGCGAGAGGATCAAAGAGACAGCAGGAAGAATGCGAGGAAGAGCGGAACAGAAGAGCTTATCTCTGTTCTACTACTCTCTATTGCATTATAAGTAGTCATTTCTCTTTCTTATGCAAAGAACAACATTCTTTCCAATCCCAATAGTTTCTTCTCTGTCCTATATTATGTTCTTTTAATTCGTATTCGTTTGCTCCATCTTGAAAGTTTAGCTCAACTGGTTGATAAACTTTCTACTTGCACCATTTCAATACTGTTTATTTTTGCCATTCAAATTAGGTCTTCCTAACCTGCAAGATGTGCTTCATTTACACCCCCTTCCACACTCCCTGTTCCCACACATCCCCGGACCGTATCTCAGAACCCTGCGCTGAAATCACAAGAACAGCTCCCGTGATCAGCGTTGGAGGCCCTCACAGCAAATTGATCCGTCCTCACTACCCTCCATTACTTGATGTGGGCTGTAGATTCAACGTACACCTCGGTCAAGAGAATGTCGAGGAACTCTGTCCTAACTGCTTGAAAAGGGAGGTCTATCAGAGAGAGCTTAGCGAGGAACATGGAGTAGATGTTGCTGCAACTAAAGGAATAACTTTCCGATTTGGAGATTATTCTGGAGGAGGAGAGGAGGTGGTAACTTCTTTCAAGGAAGTTGTTGACACGGGGGTGACATTTGGTGTTCCTAAGGAACAGAGAGAGTTACGAAGAAAGATGATTGAGAAGGCAAAGGACGGGACAGAGCTCATCGTCTGGACAGCCAAGGATTTGGCTGAGGAGACTCTGGCTCTGCGACAAAAATGGATTGAACAAGACCTACAAGGCGAGGAGCCCCTAGTCTGGAAGTCTAGCCGAGAGGAGCGTCGAAAAGATCGAGCAGAAGCTAAGCGACGTGCCGAAGTCAAGAAACTCGCTGAGGAACAATTTGAGCAGGATCTGGCCGCGCGAAAAGCAAAGATGCAGACGCGATGGGAGGATTCTCAAGTTTTGGAATCTCGATACCAGGAAGTTAAGAAGGTTAATGAGGACCGATCAATCCTCCTCAAGTCTCTACCCGAAATACTTGCAATGCTGGACAAGAATCCATATCTCCCATGGTCAGCTCCATCTCCCCCGTCGACCCCCCGGGAACGCGGTGAACTTCCAACTCCCCTTGCTATAGGAGGGTTAACATCCGATTTTCAAGACCTCACGAGTGAGAAGAATCGTCTCAAGACTAACACGAGAATACCAGCGCCAAAGCCACCTATCAAGCGCAAGCGTTCAAACTTGCCCGTGCCCGTTCGAAAGCGCACCAAAAGTTTTGTTGGCTAAGCGAGAGTGTTATGCCTTATTGGCCAAACACTTCGCGCTTCCTACGCAACAGATATGTGGGGTGCTTCTGAGAAGCAGCAATTGACACCTGAAGTCCTTAACAGAACCTGATACTCGTCTTCTCATTATTGGAGGGAGCTTTGTTGTTTGTTCCCTGACTCCACGAATTATCACTACCTACTCACCTCCAAAATTATCCCTGAAAACTAGAATATACCCCAGTGCGACCGCCCTCATACTTGGGAATACAAAATAACAGAAGGCCGGTCCTGAAAATAATCTATAATGTCTGGCTTTATTACCGAAATATAGTATAGTAGTAGTATTGAAGTATGAAATACAATCTGTACATTCTTAATACCCCTTTGAATGCCGTGAGAATGCTTCCATTGATACTGAGAACGTACGCCGATGATATAAGCCAAATTTTGATTGAAGCTAAGTACATATATGAGGACAGGCGGTTTGTTTTCACCAGCTATTGACCCTGGGGGAGGTAAGGCCTCAATTACCCTGCCCCTCCTTGCCTTTCTTCTGCACAAACTTAAGACTAGCTATTATGAGAAAGATATTTGATTGTTACCAAACCTCGACATCGCTTTTTTATTTCTTGTGTGTATTCTTTGTCATTTGTCAATTGATGGAAAAGATGGTACGAAACAGATAACATTTACCTGCAAACCAATATCAAGCCACACTACATTTCGTTCGGCCTGTCCCGCCAAGGTATGTTTTCGTGTTTGGCGAGCCCCTGAATTAGACGTTTTTCTATCTATATGGAGATTCAGAAATAATTCCCGATCGGGGTTTTGGGTCAAACGTAGGATTATATGTAATTAAGAGATTCTCAAGTTTTATGTAAATTCCTCTTAACTTGTGCTGAAGTTGTATGTGATGCTAAACCAGGAATATCGGTAGGATTTATCCCAAACCCACTTCACGGGACAGTAGACACGGGACACGGAGGTGAAAGGAGTTATCCAATTTGCCAATTTGTACAGTTCAGTGCTCCAGCATATCAAGATTATGACAGGCGGTGTCTGCTTCTGTAAAATTGCGCTCGAAATGAAAACACCGTCGAGTACATGGATTGATCTAGAGAGCTACTAGGGAGCCAGGCTACTCTAAATTTATACCGTCCCGGGAAAGAGAGGAACACTTACAAAATAAAAGTAATACCCCCTAAGCATCCTCAGCCCAAAATCGACAATGGTCTCAACTATGCTTATGGCTACCCGCTCTTACCTAGACATCAGGAGACCTGCTATCCCTCAAGTTTAAGCTCTCTAGAATGCTTTCATTCAATTCATGTGCATGACTATATATATGCTTCCTCCCTCTGAGTCAAAAAAGTGTTGAGAGGGAAAACTCTTGAAGACTGTTAAGCGCATTGCTGTAAGTTGGTCATGAAACCAACACGATTGAAGCCACCTTAACAAATACTCGCCCTTGCATTCACAGACGTCCATCAGTGAATCCGCTCTGAATGACTCAAAGACTGCTTAACATACCCATCTCAGAGCAGGGCTTATTATGTAATTAGCAGATTGTATTCACTCGAGTCTATTTATTCACTAAAATCTTTCTTTTATACCACTCATGGAATCCCCGCCAAGCCTTAAGCGAGTAACCTTGAAGTGGCCAACATATAGATGGGTCTCTCCACGCACTCAGATGTATTTAGTACCGCTTTTATCAGGCAATGAAACCTGTCTATATCCATTCGAAATAAAGTCTACGAGTGGCATTCTGTCTTCTCCCTTGTAAACAGAGTGTATAGTCTCATTCCAACTCTTCCCCTGCCCCCCCCTAAAAAAAAGCAATAGTAACCAATTGTACATGGTGTTTAAAAAACAACATTTAAAGTCGAATCAAAGCCACGAATATCACACGAATCCTCATGCTATCGGTGATACCACAAGCTTTCCAGATTTCAACCACGATGCCAAAAACAGTCTCGTGATATTCCGCGCGTATTGATTCCAACTGGACCGCCGGAAATGTCACAGCAATGTTACTACTATACTAGTATGGTACCTTGCCGCTCAAAGATCTAAAGAGAATATATGTATAAGGGATGATACCGAGCGGGAATCCGACTAACTTATCGTCATCTCACACCGTGATATAAATTCCGAGGAGATTTAAAAACACATGAGGTGTTCGGGAAGGAAGTAAGGAGTTGATCCGATGTGCTACTCGTAGTCCTAGTCCAAGGGAAAACTTTGATATTCATGTAAGGCTGCTTACTGAAAATACTAGATACGCAAGATATAATCATTTAATATAGATAATTGATGCTCCCCTACAAGTCAAAATCTCAGACATCATATTACACTTGGCGGAATTCTATTTTACACGACAACACAGTTACCACAATAACGATCCTCTCACCGACGACCCGCTCGATTTCCGCAATATAAATCCTAACCCATCCCCCCATACACACTCTCTCCTACCAAGCTTCTCAACACGCCAACCCTCATCCCTTCCCTAATTCCCCAAAATCCCATCTTCAAAACACCCACTTTCAATCCCCTCTCCAAACTCAACCTACACACCCAGCTCAGACCACTCCCCCCCGCCCACAATCCAGCCATAAACTCCAAGCACAGCCCTCCAATGCCCCTTCCCCTCGCGGTACCCCGTATTCTCGAGTACCTTGGAATTTACTAACACCCCAAGGGTATCTATTTCTATACCCTCTCCTCGCCATGCACTCCCCCGTCCAAATCTATTATCTATCCATAACCACGAATCCGCAGTATCATATAGCACCATTACCTGCTTCGCAGCTTCGCAACGAGAAAATTCAATACACTCGCAGAAGAATAAGGAGATCTAACGAGGCGGGTATCCATTTCCCAATATCTACGCGATAGTCCTAGTAACAAAGGATAGAGGAGAGACCGCTGAGAACCACTGAAACCATCCATCTACTAAACTTATTCCAAGCGAAGCCATGCAAACCAGACAAGTAGACCAAATCCAACTTTCCCTCCCAGTGCCCACCTCATTTCTCCACACCTCTCCCCCACACCCCACCCTACAGAATCCATACTACAAGAACATTAATTACTCCATATACATACTGTACCGCACTATACTCAACAGATAGTCAACCCACACATCGATCTACTCTCCACCTCACACCTCAAGCTCAAAGAGCAAAACGCAGCACGCAGCCTGCATGAGAGAAATCAAATGGTTCATACATAATACAGATACCCCTGATCTAATCACTACAAGTAATAATCAGAAGCAATCAAATAGTAAGAACCTACAGTATCGATATTTACCTTTATTCACCTAGCCACCTAGCCACCCACCTTAACCAATCTCCCCCTAAACCCTACCCTGAACCAGAGGTATGTGAAAAGCCTAAGCGATACACAAAAGGCAGCCAGCAACCAGTCTATTCACCCATACTCATATCCCCATCCACAGAGCACCTCCTCACTTCTCACTTCCCAACACCCAACTCGTAGAAGCGACTCCCTACTTCCTCCTTCCTCACATACTACAGCATCAAAATCACATACACATTCACATTCACATTCACAGAACCCAATCAAAAACACAAAAAGCCCATCTCTCAATTTCCCTATGAATATGATACGGACCTTCAAACCGGCTGGCTAGCTCGCACGCCTCAAATCCTTCAATTTCCATCTGAATTCATGAAATTGCCTGCCTTCATCCGCACCACAAACTTCAAACCGCCTCCCCCCAAATCCCCATTTCTGCATTCCCCTGAAAGGCATGTCTTTGCTCAGATACAAAAGCACCAGAAAGTGCAAATGTAAGCAGCAACTCCTTGAAATTTTTACAAACAGAACAAGTTTTGGGATGGTTTTTGGAAAAGAAGAAGAAAGAAAAGAAAAAAGATGCCCCGAGTTCGATTCCTCCACCTGGCCAGGTAAACCTAATAGAACATGAATTTTTCTCCATGCCATCCTAATACACAGAAGAAGAGGAGAATTTTTGCACAACCAAAGTAAAAAGAGAGGAATGAAGCCCTCAGCCATCATCATGGCATGTATCACGTGGTATCTAAAACAACAACAACGAAGAAAAGAAAAAATCAAATAGAAGGAAAAAAAGAATCAAACAAGAAAACAATCCATATCTACTCTGACATACATGGATGAATTTTCCAACCCCCATAGAAGAAGAGAAAAAAAATCAAAATGCCCCCATAAATCTCTCAAAGAGGAAAATCAGTATGGCCATTTATCGGGGTGGGCGAATTAGGTAGATGCATCTGGCTCAAAAATACAAATTGTAGCAAGAAAACAAGATCAGTTTTCGTACTTCGTAAATAGGCTCAGTGAACCTTTTTTCGGCCGAACATGCGTTGGAAAGTGCTACTCTCTTCCTTCGGTGAGGTTAGGGTAGGCGAGGTCAAGATGAGTGGCTGTGTCGCAGCGCGTGGAGGGGGTTCATGGCTCATGAGGAAGTCGGCGAGATCGGTGCTTCTACCCATTGGCATGGCGACTGCGTCTCGTGGTTGATATGTCTTTTTTGGTACTCTGGTGCGAGATGAATCGGCTTGCGAGGCGTGGTTATCTCCCTCCGAAGGTGTAGGAAGGTTAGGAATAACGGGTGCATTTGTGTTTACACCATGTTTGGAAGTCGAGCGTGATTCTGGTCCGGAGGAGGTCTTGGGCTTTTGAACCGCTCCATTTGCTGTTCTTGGTTTTTGAAGTACTTGCGGGGGACTAGAGGAGATTTTGGGCTTGGGAACTGGAGGTGCATCGGTATTACGTCGACCAAAGCGAGAAATCAAAGCAGTAGTGCTCGACTTCTTCTTGATATCCTTTCTTGGAGGCTCGGGTACAGAATCGAAAACGGAGCTAGTGGCTACCTGAGGGGGAGAGGGTGGTGGGGGAACATTTCGAAGGAAATCTGCAAGACTCTCTTCTTTCATTGTGGGCTTTGGAGTAGGGTTGTAATCCTCCTCCTCTTCATCAGAGTACTCGATAGCGTATGGATCTCGAACGCGTCGGGTCTTTCGTTTCGGCATCATGTCTGGTTCATCGAAGTCATTGTGGTGTGTAGCAGGCAAAGGCTTGTTCATAGCCGCATTCTTCAATAGTCCGGACTGCGACGTAACAGAGCTTTGTACCGAGTTCGATGCTTGGCTAGAACGTGGTTCAGCGAGATTGGCGTCAATTGCCTTTCCACCAGCAGCCAATACCATCTGGTCTGAATCCATGGTAGTACGGAATGGTGCTACAGTTCGGGGAATTCTATGTCCGCCCTGTAAATCGACTTGTGGCCCCGCTCTGACGAAATCGATCAAGTCACTGATGCTGTCTCCACGAGGTACAGCTGCGTCTCTGGCTTGCAACTTCAATCGACCTGCAGACGATTCTGCGCGGCGTGGAAGATTGGCTGGGGTGGTAGTACGAGAGACTGCTCCACTGTAGTTTCTAGGAGTGCCGTTCGCTCCACGGTGACTATGTAAAACACGGGGAGCCTGCTCGTAAGAATTTGCAGGTCCAGTACTTCTAATGAATTCAGCAAAGTCTCCAATCGAGTCACGGTCGACTGTTCTGGCGTCTCTTGGTTGTGGGGCATTGGGGCGTAACTTCGATCCGATGTTGGCTACTGACGCGGATTTGTTGACAACGCGGTTACCCTCAACTGGGTTAGATCGAAGTGCTGCCATGTATTTGTTTACCGAAGAGCCAGATCGGCTTGTTTCTGGTCGAGTGCTTTCTTGCGCATTTCCCTTGATTGAACCGTTGCCATGAGGACTATCAGGTGACTGTTTTATTATTATTAGTAGCTGCCTTTAAATCTTCTTTTGGAATTACTTGCCTCGATGCTACGCACGTTCTCCGGTGTCAGAGTGTACTGGATAGTAGTATCACTTCTGATGAGTTCGTCAAAACTCTGTCCTTTGCTCTCGGCAATGGATCCTTCCTCTGAAGTTCGTCTTGCTAGGTATTTGTGACTCGCCGCATCAGAACCGGAAGCCGAATGATGTGGAGATTTTTGAACCGAGGCTGATCTCTTTCTACTTACTTCCGCGGAGTAAGTCGAGGGAGCTCGAGGAATGTTTGTGTTAAGTGCACGAAGAGGCTTTTCTGACTCTACAATTCGGTTCGCGGGGTTCAGAGACGAAGGTTGGTGACTGGTTCTGATGCTAAACGTATCATAACTTGGGGCCATAGAGCTCGCCTCGTCCGAAGTGTCGGGAGCGCCTTCCATCATCTCACGTAGTGGGGTCAAGGAAGGCACCCCAAAGCCGTATTGGTTCGAATTGAGTTGCAAACTTCCACTGATTTGGTCTTTGGTTGGAGATCTCGCAACAGCCTTGCGTGGTACAGGAGCTGCAGATAATTTGAACGGAGCAGGTTCCTTAATAGGATGCTGCATAAGTGGATTTGGTTGTTGATGAGATGGGCTAAAGCCAACGTCGACTCCTTGCATAGCTGCGGCGAGTTCTGCTGGTATCGAGGTGTCAAGGTCCCCCTCAGACTCGTATGCTTCCTTCTCTTCGATGATAGATTCTTCACTACTATGAGCATTTCCTATTGAAGATTTGCGATCAAGCGAGCTACGGTTTGAACCACCACGTGTCATCGGACTCGCAACTCTTGGTGATTGTGTGCCAGCGCTTACAGGTACGTTGATGCTAGTAGGCCGTGAACCAATACGATCGCCCTGAACAGAGCATCTTCGTGATAAGGAAGGGGTCCTAGAGACTTCGATTACACGCACAGATGAATGGCCACTACGTGATCGAATACTAGAGCCTCTGGAGAGACCCACTGGATCGCTAGGAGAACCGCCCCCAACGGACATGCGAGCTGTAAGGATTACCGCCTCCTCTGGTTCTTCGTCATCCGAATCTATCTCGGACTTGGTGTCAATCTCGGTCTGAGGTGCCTTTCCTTGAACCACAGAAACTATTCCAGCCGCTGCGGCGGCACCCGCAGCAACTACACCTGCGACAACTCCAGTCGTAGCACTCTCGTCTTTTCTCTTTGATTTCTTGGCTTCTCCTCCAGCGGAACCCTCACTATCCTTGGACTTCAATCGTTTAGAAGGACCGTATGGAGAGAGATTTGGAGTTGGCAACGAGTGAGATCTCTTTCTGGATACCGGTAGTGAGTCTACGGCCTCTCCGTCGGAGGTTGGCGTGAGGGGAAATTCGCCAAAGAATAGCATACTCTTTGGTCGTGGTTTTAAAGTCTCCTCTTCAGTGGTTGATGCATCACTCACTGAATCGTCCTCAATTTCCTCTGCAAGACCTGGTATTTCGATCTCTCTAACATCGTCGTTCGTCGTCGGGAGCGGGATTGCGGCTGCGTACTCGTACTCCAAAACAGCTGCTAGCGAGGGTCTACGAACGGGTTCATCTGTTTCGTCTTCTGGAGAGAGGTTGTTTGCCTGCCTAGCTAGCTGTGTCTGTAGCGACTCTTGCGAGAATGAACGGTTAAGCGACCCTGAGGGGGTCGGTGATCGAACACGCTTCTTGTAGCTTCTCCATAACCGACCCAATGTTCTATCGAGTGCCACTTTCTCCACGTCGCTGTCCTCGACCACAATTCGGTCTGCAATCTCCGTCATAACCCCTGTGCCTTCTCTAGCCTCCTTTTCATATTTTGCCTTCATGCGTTGGTATGCTGCTTGACCAGCTACCACCAAAATCTGTTCGCCAATGAATTCGAGGATGGATGTGAGGAAAATGGCAACAGCTGGAGAAACATCACCGGCGTTGGGACCATTACTTCCTGCTCCTAAATGTTCCTGCTGCATGTAGATATCTTCATCCTCCTCTTCCATGTCGCCCAGTGAAGAATAAACCATACATCGTAGTCGCGTGCGCTTCCAGACCAATTCCAAATCCCAGTCACCATCAGCATCTAGCCCATTGTCGTTGTGGTAGGCCATGATTTGTGCATCGTCCCCATCGCCCAAGTACTCGTGTAATTCCTGGTCTGCTCCGCTGATGGCGCCATGAGCGAGTTTGGGTTTCAATACCTCACTAACCGCTGGTCGAAGTGATGTAAGGGAGATGGATCTTGCGCCAGAGAGAAAGCTAAATAGAAGTTGGTCGAGGAAGCGATTTACCAATCTCAGAGCTGGCTGCGAGACTCGTGCACCTTCTCCTGATGGCTGGATTCCATTTTGATCATACCAAGTCTCAGCCTGGCTCTCGCGATCGTTGGTGACAATTTGAGAACCTGCTGCAGCAGCAATGTATTCGGGTTCAGGGGTCACCAAGAGCGGTGGTGACATCAAGCCACCACTTGAGATGCTCTGGGAGCGGTGGTGGATTTCAATATCTGGGGGCGCCATGGCTCCTTCTGCCTTTCATGCAACTCACTCAGACCTGCTTCCTTATTGGTTGCGTCCAGTCCAGATTGGAAAGGGTATTTGTTGTGTCAAAGTACAAGTTATCTTTCTTTTGGAAAGAAGGAAGTGAGTATTGGTAAAGTCGGTCAAGCCGAACAGGTTTCCAGCTGGTGTGAATTCAGGGGAGAGATTTCAACTGGTCGTCCGATCTTGATTTTTGGACGCATCCGCAATTCAATTGACTGTCTGCAAACTCTGTGTTAGCCTTGGAAGCGGTATTGAATGTGACCAATCGTAGATGACCAGATCGAAAAAAGGTTGGTGTTCAGGAGAGACGTGGGAAGATCGGATGGAAAGGCGACGAGGTGAAGAAAGTAAGATAGATCTAACATGGATACAATTGCCGACCAGCCAAATCAATTGGATTTTGATGTATAGCGCCTGGCTTGACACGTACTTGGTGCGATCTGAGTCGGATTCGACTCTTATACAGCGCTTTCTGACCCACCAAATTGCTTGTTGATGAGAGGAAATCAGGAAACAATTTCGGGGTTGAAAAGTAGCAGAGATTCCAAATGCGAAGTGTCGCAGGTGCCACTCGGCGATCTTTCACTTCTCCAAGATGGCAAGATCGGGAGGGGTGTATGAAACACAGTACGAGCACATACCTAGGATGGTCAAGGTTCCTGAACTGTCTGCTGTCACCACAATCCGAGGTTGAAGTTGAGCGCAAAAAGCGAGCAGCGCAGCGACGTGGGAAGAGACTCGAAGCAAAAGAAGTAGATGTCGGACTGGTGTAACAGGAAAGATGACGAGAGATGGGGCTGCACCATTGAACATCTGCAGCTGGGCTGGATTGGGGCTGCCCTTCGTTGGTGGGAGGATTTTTGGTGTTGCTTGCTGGGTGAGTAAAGGTGGTGAGGGGTGGCCGACCGGCTGTCAAAACTCCAATCCCGCGTGTAGGTGTTGTGGGTTGTGCAACTGGTCTTGTCCGACGCGTGAAGGTTGAGTGAAGGTTGGGTCAAGGTGAAGTTGAAGATGCACCAATTTTCTGATTATCCTCCAGGTCGGTCTTGAAGCTCACTTGCCTTTCCTCAGGAGTAGACACAGACACAGATACAAACAGCTGGGCAGAAACAGAGTTGTACGGAGTAGACCTCCACGGCATCGGCGGTTTTGCCGGCAATTAGTGGGCTGGGAGGCTTTGGGCGCCGTAGAATGCAGCGTAGCTGCAGACTATTGAACCCTGGTTCCGGCTGGGGATTTGATTTGGATTTCAGGGGCAGTGGAGTTGAGTGGGGAGGGCGATATCTGGATGGAGCTGGGTGCAGGAGACGATGGAGAACATCGAAATGGCCAGGGGAGCCGAGAGGAACGGGGTATCCACTCTCTCGATTGCACTCTCTCGATTTCGAGAGTGGAGAGTCAAGTAGATGACAAATTACTTGAACAGGCGAGAGAGCCAGTCATGGACAATTTTCTATCACCACAATGCCGGGCCAGCCTATGGCAGTTGAACGGGAAATTCTTTGGTGTTTCTAGAATTTGAACATATATAAATACATGTCAAGCCCTCCAATCACCACCACGTTCTGTCGAGCCCAGCTGTGGTGGCTTGATACATAAATGCTACTTTGGGACCACTACTACGGCACAGAAGATCCAACTGCAGGGTCTGTCTCTGCCCACCATCTGCTTTTTGAGACAGTCACTAGAGCACAACACAAACGCACAACACCCACCCAAGTTGGATGCCCTGAGTCAGAAGACCTCTCCACATCTTCTTCTCGCATCTTTGTCGACTTCAGGCAAGAATTTCAGAGGATCTCTACAGCAGATGCTAATTCACTATGATCCTCAATCACTACTGTAATCTACGAACCCTAGAAAAGATGGGATGGGCTGCTCGGGCAATTTCCCTGAGCTTGGATGCTTGGATTGCTTGGGAAACGTGCAAGTGTGGGGTTCTTTTGGGAGCAAGATAAACTGTTTTGGGGAAAACACCATCTCACACACCATCTCACAATCAATGTGGAGTATTGGCATCCTAAGAGTCAGCCACGCTGAAAAGCCTCTCCCGTGTGTACTGCGTAACGTACTTCTACAGTACGACCTGTCAAGTGGTGGTGGCCAGCCCGGGCGATGGCGATCAGCTAAATCTTGAAAGGAAAGGGCAATGGTTCGCATCAAGCGAATGGCTTCGTACTATAGTTAGTACACCATCCTGAATACACCATCACCACCGCACGACCTCTTCAGCTCACAGTTTGTCAGTCATGCCCCAAAATATGTGGTAGAAGATGATTCCCCACTTCTTCCAAGAAGATCTACTTCTACCAGGCAAGTAATCACCTACTTCTAGGTGGTGCCGAGGGTACGTATGGGGGACTAGTCGCCTTCCCGTTGCCTGTTCTCTCACCGACATTAGATTGAGTAATGTCTGACTTCAATCCGCTTCATGGCGAGTTGCCCTATGTAAGGCTATTAGCGAGCTACACTCGTACACCTCCACCTCTTCTCCCCTCCCGTTCGCTCCGTACTCTATGCCTTCAATCTATCCCCTTCTAAACGATCTGCACCATCCAACGTCACAATGCCGTGAAAGAATAAGCACAACATGCAAAAATTGGTACCGAGTAGTAGGCAGGCCGACTCACGGAGGTCAGAACTTACCTTACACGTAAGAAGGAATCCAGTCAACCCAACTCATCCGCACGCCACCTCCGGAAATCCTTCGAAACGACATGAGGTTGCATCCATTGCTGTGCCCCCCAAAATGTACGATGGCGCATGGAGGACATGTGGTGTAGTCGGTCTGCAGCTCGCCATTCTTTCCATTGCCCCCATCCTATCTCATCACCCATGAGGTTTCTGAACATCCGACGTTCTGACGGAAAACGTGGGCTGGACGCTGGGACGATTTGTTGGTTTCTTCCAGGAGATACTTCCTAATTTTATGAGATGGTCCGAGGCTCATTCATCAATATCTTGGTTTCTCCAAGATCTCCCCGCTCCGGTTCTGTTGAGTGCCAGATGCCGGCGAACGGGAGCTGATAGTGATAATCTAGTTGATCAAAGGAGCTAGGGGTTTCATTATCAAAGAGCTGGAGCTGGAGGTGCACTGCCATGCCAAGACAGGAATGGGAAGGTGGTGTTGAATGTACCAGTATCAATTTCGTGGCATTCTAGACCAAGGGATTCGGGTGTACGAGCATGGTGGGGCAAAGGGCAGGGCAGCTATTCTAATCCGTATCAGACAACCAACACCAACACCAACACCACACATCCCGCCGGTAAGCATCGGCACTCTCCTCTCGTGATTCTCCAGCCATGGATAGGGAAAACCCCCCGCCCGCCGCGGGTACGATGTCAGATCTCGGGGAATGCATCGTAATATACGACTGCCACCCCTCAAGTTTCAACTTTATTCATGCTCTCTCATACATAACCTTTACGTACACAAAACTCGATTTTCTTGCGTAAGCCTAGATCGGACTGCGCCACTCTCGAGCTCCTCTTCTTTACCTACGGTCTAATATGTAACACCATGGGCAGGTAAGTAATTCATCTAGGTACTGTACAGTAGACAGAGTTTATGTGCCGTCTGACGGCATGGGGAAGTGGGTGTGTGAGAGGGGTCGAAGGAAGGATGGTGGGGCGAAAAACTCTCAGTACTCCGCAAACACTAATAAGTTAAACCCCATGGGCCATGGCATCGAAGAGGCCATATTAATGTGCGAACAACATGCGAATCCTTCACAAGTACTCGTACCGTACCTCGTAAATCCCATCATCCACCTTGCAGTGACGATATGAGGTACAGTACCATATCCGTCAGCAATCCTCTCTATTGAGCTCGTACATCGACTCTGGCAGCAAATCCGATTCCTGTCATGTTTTGCAGCCGAGGAAACGGGATGTAGCGAGCGTACCGTACTGTGAAGCGCGATCGCATCGAACGAAACGTCGTCCGACGGCGAGATAATGCTTGGAACGGGAGTCTGTGCGAGACTTTGAGCTTGCAGATGGGATGGTCTACCTAGTTACGTATGCGTATACGGTACGTATCTACGTTACCTGGGATTCCACGGCATGTAGATAAGACCACGCTACGTATCCTCATGTACTGTGAAAACCTTGTGGTAGGTACGGAAGAGGCAGGCGGCTTGAGGGGAAAAAAGAATCTCCGTGGGATTCGTTGGAAAGTAGATAGAAGTGATTGTAAATTGAGTACTGTATGTAAAGGGGGTGGACGGTCAATGCTAGACACTGTCACGTAGATCATATATAAAAAAAGTCTATATCGCCCAAATATAAGTCTTTGATTCCCTAGTTTAGCTAAAAGGCGGGGCGGAGACGTACTATAATCAGCGACAGTGTCCAGAATTAACTGTCCACCCCCTTTAGTTTATCTCTGCCTCATCATAAGCTGCGCCGTGGTGCAACTTCCAATTGTAAGATGGGTACCTAATCTTTTCCCATGGCGCACATCATAGACACCCCCTCCTCTGGTACTTCATCTTACAGTACCTCGCCATTCCTACTGATTAGAGAGTTACCTACAAACAATCTTTGACTATGATTTAATATCTGCCTCCATCCGAAAATTGCTATTTATTCGTTTTAGGAAGACCACAACGAACATATCATATATAGCCATCGACAAATCACTACTTCCTCCCAAAGCTTGGAAGTTCTAAACCACAAGTAACACTACGCATTTCCAGATTCATTACTGTATCACATCTAGATAGTAGTTCCTAGTACAGCGTAGGTGCATGTTATAAATCCCACCTTCAACTCTCGAAATTATATATCCCTTACTCCGTAACTCGTACACTACCGGTAGTGGTAGTGCCTTGGTATTAACGTTAGTACATTAAGTGGGCGTACTACTCAGCTTTTCAGCCTATATAGCTAAAGTTATACCCTTTTATGTAAATACTATTAATACCCGCTAAAACTTCTATAATCTATGATTTAATATAAGAAATTTCGTAAAG